AAGTGTAGTCAATATGTTTTGCCAAAGTTTTAGTTTTAAACAGATTCAGCTTAGCCTGGCTATCTAAATCTTTAGAATGGTTGACTAATATTTTAATAATAAACAATTGTTTGTGTCACATAACTTAAAATTAAATTGCATTTGAGCTATGCTGTTTTACACTTTCAATTAATAAGCCATCAGTAAGCTTAAATGTAAATAAGCATTGGCTTTCACGTGCTCCATGTTGTCTGGACAAGCAGCCAATAAGCCAGTGCCGAAGTCATTTAATTGCATAATGAGCCAGAGCTGTTATTTAATCAGCTCGTTTGTCAACAAAGTGCATATACAACAGTGAGTGTAGAGAGAAAACGACAGAGAGAGAGAGAGAGATATTGTGTGAGAGAGAAGCGAGAGAATAGTGTGTTTGTCAGTCATTGGCGAGGCGGAGAGAGCGGGCAACGGCAGACAGCTTGTCAGCTCTCAACTAATTACGTATACGCAATGTGATTATGAGCTGCAGCTGATTTGGCAACTGTCAAATGTCAATGGCGTGTGATTGGATTGGCTTGATTGGTAGCCACTAAGCTCCCCCCTACACACAACACTCCCGCTGTAAAGTAGCCAACACTGGCATCTCCAGTTTTAAAGATAATGGCCACACCATAAGCCATAACGAGCTGAGCATTTGGCAAATGAAACCCGAAAAGCCGGGGCCAAATATTTGTTGACATATTGCGGATTTAAAATGATTTGTGCCTGCCCAGCGGAGCAGCGGCATTGGCAGCGGAACCAATCCCCGAGAATTAAACAAATACATTTGAATAATGGCAAGCAATCAGCAAACAAAACAGAAGACTGATTGCTGGCAATAAAAATGGACCATAAAAAGCGATAACATCATATTTATAAGCGGCCAGGCCTCCCCCAAACCAGCCTTGGAGTCGAGTCGGCACTCAACAAGCAGCCGCAAGCCGCAAGCCGAACAGAAATAAAAGACGCACATGGACACACAGCCAAAGTCCGGGGCAACATTCGCATTCCCATTGCCTCATCCTTGGCCCGATATGAGCTCCCAGAGCTCCCAAGGCGGCGAGCGTTGAAAGCGATTATATGCGTAAATATAAAAATGGCGAAAAGACAAATAAACGACAATAAACGGCCGGGCGTGGAAGGCGCGTAAACCAAAAGTAGCCCCGCCCCCTATCCGATCAACAAGCAACAAAAAAAAAAAACGAAAAAAGCAAAAAGGAAACATGGCCAGCAAAAAGATGGGCCCATAAAAAAGAAAACCAAAAACGGCAACAAGGGTCAAGGCGCCAGCACAGTGGATACAAAAATATGCGAATATGCGTCAAATCGGTTGCGGCGAGCTAAATCAAGTTAACCAACTTATTTTCATAAATTTAACTAAACACCTGTAGCATTACATTTTATTATTTTAAAAAGAGCTAATTGCTTTACAATCCCAAACATTTATTTGTAATTCTCAGTCATTATCAATTCCAGGCAATTTTTAGACGTGCCTTGACAAGAGACTTAATTTGCAATTTAATTATTCATTTTTTTTATTGTTGTCCTGGACAGGAGTAGTCATCGAGTACTTGAGACTATCTTATACAAATTTATATTTTCTTTTCAAGATCGTTTATTTTCAAGCCATATTGCAAAGCTCGTGCTAAAGCATCCTTCATATCTTACTGTAACTATATTTTATTAAGCTTTGTTAATATTGCCGTCAGATGTGGTCATAATTTGATATTAGCAGATTTACATTTTTTAATTAAAATTAATTTCTACTAAAATAACACAACTTTTCCAATGTACAAAATAAGGGAACTTGTTTAGTCTTCTGTTAAGTTTAATATTTCATATCTTATTTTGCGTTTTGTACCACTGTGCACGCCTTGAGGCAACCTGAAAACGACCACACGAACGGAGTAGGCGGCACGTTCCCATCGAGTTTCCGCCTCTTATTGTGTGCTTTTTGTTTATGACGTCCATTTGGTGGGTGCAAGCAGCCGAGATTAGATTCTGGTTTTGCCAAGGTGGTCACACAGACAGTCTGTGCATTCTCCTCGTCTCCATTCGCTATGTGCAGTCCGCCTACCTCAATGATTTGTGCGTTTCCGGGCAGTCGCGTAAATGTTGACGACTCATTTTAATGCCCGGTAAAGACGTGCAGATTTGCGATTTGCATTTGCAGTTGATGTACAGAGGGGCATTCGAATGTTAAGCGCCCCATAAATTTGCCATAAAAGTGAGCTGCGCTTTAAATGACCAGCGAGGCGCCTAAAAGTATGCCGACAATTTGTGTTTACTCGCTTGAAATAAAGTAAAAAAAAAGCGCAGTCAAATTTGCTTTGGCGCCGCTTTTTGCAGCTACTTGTTCTGGCCCAACCCCGCCCAGTCGGAGAGGCGGCTCATTGAAACTGGCTGCCACTTTTCAGCGCGTTTTTGTTTGCACAAAGTCCAAAAACCAAAGTCGGCTCGAAACGAAACGAAACGAAGCCATCGGCGAGCCTGATAAATTGAATGGTCAGCTGCGTTTGCATAAAAAGGCCAATTCAGGACCTGGTCCTTTGCTTAGGTGAGCCAAACAACATTTGCGCGCCAGATCATGGTGGAGTCGAGTGGACATTGAGCTGACTGATTGCCAGTCCAACCCCTGCCACATGTGGTGCCAGCGTCGGATGGCGGGCAGACGTTTGATTATTAACGCTCTTTAACATTGAAGCAAGCTTTAAAATTAGCAAAGTATGTAAGGCATTAGGTACTCTATAAATTATAAACTGTGCAGCAGACAGGGGCTGACAAGCAATTGACTGACATCAGGCTTTCTTACTGCTAGCGAGGTACTTGGGGCTAGGGAAACCCTATAAATTTAAAACATATTTGCAAAGCACAAAGCCAACATATGTGAGGTTAAAAATACTCTATAAATTAATTTACTGACAACTACCTTTAGTTAGCATAAATTATGTTTAAGAAAATAATACGAATTTATAAGTTTAATCTCAGACAAGAGTATTGCTTATTTAATCCTGAGTTAAACCAATTGATTAATTACATAAAGTGTGCTGCAAGAGGCAGCATAGAATGCCATATATCTCAGGATTCCTTTGAGACACTTTTAAAAATTATTGTTTTCCGAAGCAAGGTAAAAAGGCAGGTGATATATTGTATTTAAAGACATATTGCAATAAAAAAATAATTTTCTGATATTTGCCAATTAATAAAAATGATGATAAATAACGAAAAAAGGAAAAAAACTCAAAATATTGAGTTAAAGTATTTAAACTGAACATATTTAAATTAATGTTTATCATATTTAATTTATTGTAGAAAGTGTACTGACTTACTGAAATTTTTAGTCAGCTACTTCCGAGTCTACTCAATTATTACATTAAATTTATTAATCCTACTATTTTCTAACGCATTCTAACTGATCACAACTCTAGTGTCAGCTGGCAGCTGCTACCCATTACGCAAAAAGAATCCCAGACAACGGCAGGCCAAGCAGATAGCTTATGAAAAACTGCTCATTAAATTTCAGCTTGACGTTCGCCAGAAAACAACTCTTGAATGGCAAAAACCTGCAAATGCAGCCCTGACAGGTGAAATTGAAAGAAGCGTGTTGCGCTTTCCCCCGAAATGCTAAAAAACTCAACTCCAAACTATACGAAAAACGTGCTAAAACGTAAATCAACAGCGAAAATCGTGTTGAGCATTTTTCGTAGCCCGAAAAAAAGAGAAAAGAAAAACAGAGCGATGGCCAAAATCGGAACAGAACTGAAGGGAAACGGAGAAAAAGCATAAACAGTAGTTGCTGCACGGCAAACGGGATTGAGGGGGAGGACTCGAAAGTTGAAAAGTGGCAAAAGTCCACAGGGAATTGGAGATTGGACACGGCTTTGGGTGTCGGCCACCAGCAAGTGGGGGGCAAGTAGGGCTAGCGATTCTTAAGCGCCGTTTGCAGTTGTCCTGCTGTCGACTGACTCCTGTCTCCTGTGTTCTGTCTCCTGACTTCGCAACGTAATTCAATATGCAATGCCGTGTTAAAAGCTGTAAAAATGCTTAAGCGTTTTTCAATTTACCAGTTTTATTTTACGTACAGCGTCCCAGAACACATTGACCGGAATGAGATTTGCAGCTAACTCAAATTTCTTAAATGCTTGTGGAACATTTGCAAGTGTCGACGGATAAGGGCACTGATACTGGAGTTTGGTCGGGGCTAAACGAATATTGACATGCGACACGGCAGTTTTGTGATCTGAAAGTCGAATGTTAACTAGAATTAAAAAATTCACAGAACCACAGATAAAACGCAGACCTAAAGTAATTAATGAAATCTCTTTAAAAGTCTAACAATACAAATTATTTAAGTTAATCTTTAAGTGGAAGAATAGATATTTTGCTTCTGGCAACTTATTTAATCTATAAGTAATATAAGTAAATAAAATAATAATATATAATAAAAATGCCGTTAATGTTAATTCTTCTTTCTAAAAAGTTTTGAACGTGAACTTTACATAATGCGATTTTTGATATTGCAATCACTTTTTTACTTAATATACACAATATTATTTAGCCAAAGACTGTAAAAATGATGTAATATATATAATTCTTACAATTGAATAACATAATGTCACTGTAATTGAATTACGAAATATTTTCTGTTAAATAAAACTTTTTGTGCTCTCACAACGAAAAACCTGCAGTCGTTGCAATTTGCGACAAAAAAACAATAAAACTTGAACTTTTGTCATAAAAACGGGCATGAGAAACTAAAAGCGCAGCGTGAAAATTGTCGTATCAGCAAAATAAGGCGACAGCAACAGAGTCCACAGGACACGGCAGGACACATTGGCGCAAAGTTTTTGTCCAAGTTGGCGCTAATTAATTTTTATTTATTACGTATACGAACGGGCAGCCAGAATGTTTTCCCAATGAAATTATTTGACCAAAAATATAATTAAATTTTCTAACTGCTCCTTTTTGTGCACTCTTTCGTTCTGCAGGCAAACACACACGCGTGGATACACAGCAAACGGCACTGGAAGGTAATTAATTTAACGGCTTTCAACTTAACCTTGTGCTATTTTTTTTTTTAATTACCTTCCTTTAATATTTTGGTGCCCGCCCGCGACTCGCTGCACTTTCACCGGCTTATGGAACGTATGCGCAACATGCCCCATCAAGAGTCAGTAAAAGTGCGACAGAGTCATGTCAAAGAAAATGCGCTACATTTTTCGTTGGCTCCGTCTTTTCTTTTATAAAAATAAGTTTTAAGCGCGAACCACAAAGTCAAATATGGGCCAAGCAAACTTTTACACAAATTAACTCTGCCACAAATGGCTGTGCGGCACCCTTCTGGTTAACTGTCTGCTTCTGCTTGTGCTTTCACAGATGCGGACATGCCACGCTTTGCCGAACCCATTGCTAATGTCACCGTCTCAATTGGCCGCGACGCGCTGCTCGCCTGCGTCGTGGAGAATCTCAAGGGCTACAAAGTGGCCTGGGTGCGTGTGGATACCCAGACGATACTTTCCATACATCATAATGTAATTTCGCAAAATAATCGGATTAGTTTGACCTACAACGATCATCGATCGGTAAGAAGTTATTAAATAACATTTTAATTTGTCTTTATAGTTTTGCGGACACTTTCAAATATTTTGTTCGGAACTGGAATTTGGTTCTATGGAGCGTAAGGCTCTCTTGTAAATGCTTATCGCAAAATCATATCTTTCTCACTTATCTTTTATGTAGACGTGATTAGTAGAAATATAATTTATATCAAATAAACTTGATTGTTGGGAAGAAAATTTTTAGTTGTTAATTATTAAATTAAATTAAAATTGCAGCTAAGGTTAATTTAACATATGTTATTTATTTATTTAGTGGTATTTGCACATCAAGGAAGTAGAGGAAACGGATCGTGGCTGGTACATGTGCCAGGTCAATACGGTAGGTTTTATGTCTTAAATTTGATTGCTTCAAGCAGAAAGTGAAAATTTATTTCTGCTTATATTACTTTAAGGATCCAATGCGCTCCAGGAAGGGCTACCTGCAGGTGGTGGGTAAGTAGAGGACTTCAGCAATTCGCTGGCAATCGAACCACAATGCACGCATCTCATTCTCTGACTCCGCTTCGCTGTGCAGTGCCACCCATGATAGTCGAGGGCATGACCAGCAACGACATGGTTGTCCGGGAGGGTCAGAACGTATCGCTGATGTGCAAGGCACGTGGTTATCCAGAGCCCTACGTCATGTGGCGTCGCGAGGATGGCGAGGAAATGCTAATTGGCGGGGAGCATGGTGAGTAATCAGCTTCGCATTTACAATCCGCGCACACAGCGCTTGCTCAATGTGGTTTTTCTTCTCATGCTTCTCTTTCCCCGTCCCTTTCCACAAAAACCAGTCAATGTCGTTGATGGCGAGCTGCTGCACATCACCAAAGTGAGCCGGCTCCACATGGCGGCCTATCTGTGCGTGGCCTCCAACGGGGTGCCGCCATCAATAAGCAAGCGGGTGCATTTGCGAGTTCAATGTGAGTATTTGGGATATATTAAATTAAAAAAAATCTAGTCTTATTTAAAAATCTCCCTATACAAAAGGAAGCTTTAAAGTTTATTATCGTTTGAGGGAATACGTACCCTATAGATTTTCCTCCAATGGAATAAATATTATGCTTGAACTATCCTAGAAAATAATTTAACACTAACATTGATGAAAACATAGAAGAAATTATTGGGGAAAAAATAGGAAATTTGTAAAACAAATTATTTTGAACACTAAAAAATCAGAATTAGATGGGACTACACAATATTTATAATATTTATATAATATTATAATTTATATAAATATATTATATTGAAGAGGTAGAGGTATACAAAAGTATTAAATTTGTATATGTATTCTTTTGGATAAAATACAAAAGTGACGAGCACCCACAGATATTTGTATATAAAATTTTTTTATTTTTATATTTGTCTTTAGTAAAAAACTTCGTTCTTGTAAGAATTTGTAAGCATTTATTATCAACAAAATTAATTTGTTTACGCTTCCTTGACCAACTCTTTCTCATCAATACCTAAATTAATTAAGAAATGTTTAAAACTGAAAATATTATACGTGCATTTGTCTTTGAAAGTAGAGTAGATTTTCTATGAAGCGAAACCTAACCAGAATAGTTGCCAGTTTGAGAAGCGTGTAACAATCTTATATTGAATTCCACGTGCTGGCGCGTAAAATCCGTTTTTGGGGAACAAGTGTTATGAAACATTTATGTGCCATTCGGTCGGTGTGGCAACCCCGACTGAGAAGCGCTGTGAAATGCGTAAAATACACAAAGCAAAGCAGGTGCGCAACGTGTGTGCTTTGCTTCCCCCATACCGCTTTGAACGGCACGCATCGAATGACTGTTGCAGCCTCGGGGCAATAACCGCAGCTTGTCCTCAGCACACGAAATAGCAAGGGGGGTGATTCGGGGTTGCACGCACTTGGCCGAAAATCGACCAAAGCTGCAGTCACGTTAAATTAATTTACCAGTGTGTGTGTGCGTGTGTGTTTTTGTTGTGTGTATACGCTCATTTCGCCTTGTATGTGGGCGTTTTGTTTGTCAGTAGGTGTTATTTTGTGCCCCACGCTGTGTACGTGGCGAAAATGCGTTGCCATTGCCATCAGAGCTTTTGTTGTTGCTGCCACACGCACACATGCACGCACACCCACACACACATAGCCCCCGGCCGATGCAGTAACAAAAGCTATTTACACACACCCAGGAACAATCTCACGCTTACAGGCGCACTTTTAATGACCGAACGCATTTTAATCCAAAAACAGTTTGCAAACTCACGTAAATTCCATACGAAAATTGCTTCAAAAATCTGTGATGGAAATTGAAATTGTTGGCAAGTTTCATCGGATCAGCAGAAAACAGTTTATGGATTTACAAGTGCTACAATTCATATCGATTTGTTAAATCGTTTTGAGTTTTATATTATAAAATGATATAAAATATAAACAACGAAATTAATACCAATAAATATTTAAAAAAAAAGCGTACGATACAATACTTTATTAACACAATCCCAATAAAAGGGGAATTTCGTGAGCCCATTTTTTTTAATATCCGCAGTAACAAAATTATTGAAACTAATTATATTTTAAAAATAATTTTTTTTTTATGACATTGCATACATATTGTTCGCAGTCCCCCCAATGCTATCCATACCAAACCAATTGGAAGGTGCCTACTTGGGCCAGGATGTTATGCTGGAATGTCATACAGAGGCGTATCCAGCCTCAATCAATTATTGGACCACTGAGCGCGGCGACATGATAATATCAGGTAATTTGAACTGCACAAACTGAACTTAAGCAAAGGCTTAACTTATTGTCATTATTATGCAAATGTGGTATGCTCTATCTGCATGGTATGGTGGATTGTCCCACTGTCCCACGAAATCCAATAAAAGCTGCAGTCTTGACCAGTGGCAACTGTGTGGCTGTTTATTGTAGCCACATTTATTATCTGAAGGGCGTTTGTAAATGAGCTTACAATGTAATCAACATGCTGCCTTGCCAAGACCAGACCCAGGCCCAGCAGGCATTCAGAGAACTGTCATGTAAAATGGCAAAAATTAAAACTCCCATCACTGCGTGAGCCCAAAAAATAAGTTAAGCTGCTGCCGTTGCCACAGCCAATGCAGATGCAAACGCAGCTGAAATTGCACAGCAGCGGCAGCAGCATCAACAACAAAAATGAAAAACAAAAAATCCATTGCCAAACAATAACGTGGGCGTCAATGTTGCTGCTGTGGCTGAAGCTGCGGCGATTTCTTTTTCGCATTACTCATACGCACTGAGTGACAGGCATTCGAAAAACATGCGCATACATGCGCACAGACTGCTGAGCTGTTAATGTCACAGCATAAGGCTTTAAAATGATTGTCCTTATTGGGTAGCACTTGACAGATTGCATCGAGGAAAAGCATTTTAAGGGAAGTAGCCAAGTGCACAGCACAAATGCTGCTTAAATACTTCAAAAATTCTCACTTGTTCCTTATGCCAGAACATGACAATTGTCGCTTTCTAATGAAATGTAAATAAATGTACTATAATACTAAAATTTCTCACATAATTCTTATGAGATTTGTAACATTTAATAACTTATTTACTAAAATGGGTTATCCTGTTTTTGTATAAGGAATTCTTACCCTTGTAAATTCAACAATATTATTAATGAAATTATTAAATTTAGCATATTCAATATAGCTTTTAAAAAATTAAAAAATTCATTTAGTATTGCACCCAATTTGTTTATTTATTGGATAAACAATTAAAAATCATAAATAATTATTTTAGTTTTTCGTTGATTAATTGCAATTGCTGTAGAAATCAACATGTTAATAGAACCTTACATAAATCTCAGTCAACCTTAAAGTAACGAAAATTTTAATTAAATTTACAATAAACACATATTATTTAATCTATATATACATATATTTTAATACTCATTTAATTGATGTAAAAATAATTTGAGGCCTTCTCTTAGTGCTCATTTAATTAAACAGACAATCATATTTCAATCTGAACTTAAGCTTTTCTTCATATATACTCTCGTATGTGTATGTATATATTTGTTTATATGATTCCATCTGGCCTTACAACAAGAGATTTTCGCTTTTAATGGCGCTGCATATTTGTGGCTTTGATTGCAATATGAAATTCCCTTTAAATCCAAATCCAATAATTGGTAAATGATTAAATTACAGTAAGTCCCGTTCGCACAATGCTTTTAATTAACCACTGAGCTCTCAGTGTGCATCAAAACTTTAATATAATTAAAATGAAAATAATCAACACTAATAAATAATATTCTGTTATGCTCGCAAATTGACAAAACAGAATTGATATCAATTTAAGTAAAGATGCAATGTGGTAAATACTATGAAAATACTGTTCGTCAATATAACCAGCTATTCCAGAGATATAAATGTCAGAAAATATTATATTGTAGCGGAAATTATTTGAACATAATCACATTGCCACACACACACACACACAAAGACCCACACACAACCAATATTGCGGGTATTTGCGCAAATGCCGCGTGCAAGCGTAAATCGCCTAAATGCATGCAACATCATGCGCCAGCACCAACAGGACGACCAGCTGAGGTGAAACTCCGTAATCCGCGCTTTGCGACCAAATTAAAACGGAAAATAATTAACATTGAAGTGACTATATAAAATCAATAAAATTCATAATGTGTATGCTTAGACGAGGCAACAAATCATTGCGCTCTTTAAAGGCTTACAAAATGTCATTAAGTATTCTCGTAAGCCTTACCCCAGTAAATTAATATAATGCACTGCGCTGAGATAAAGCGTAGATAAGTCGAAACACATGAACAATTTGGTAAGCCGAGAAATGAGTCATCATTCGACTCGTGAGCATAGAAATTACAGCAAATGCCATAGAAGGGTCTTTTGATAGACCTCTATTCTTATTTTTTATGCTTAAGTGCCATTTGTTTGTTCGATATGGCACAGACACACATCTGACACGACATACTTGTGTGTGGCAGAAAATGCCAAATTATGGCCAACGTATCAGCTAGTAGGAAAGACATTTCATATGCACACACGCATAGGCTGCAAACAAAACGCAAACTGGGATATGAATTCGGCGGCGTCGAGCATGATGCATGGCAAACAGACACCAAAAGTTTTGGGTAATAAATTTTAAGCGATTTCGGAGCGAAACGCATGGAGCTCCTCTGTATGTTTGTTTATAGATGCAGGTGGGTAGATACAGAAACTAGGAAAAGGAAGCTACCGAACGAGTGAATAGATGGAGTCTTAGACTGAAGACAGATGCGAATACAAAGGTACAATCTGAAGTAGAGGTAACGTATTTGGAGCTCTACATCAGAGTCTACCAGTGTATCCTCATCTGTCTTAGTACTTTTCTTCTCTCTAAACTTTGGTATGAGTCTAGCCCAATTCTGTCAAAAAAGAAACAACTTGTCGCACAGCCCTCGCTTCAACTGTCACTAGCACATGCCATTTATCACAGACATAGTCAGCGCAGGACAAGCAATTCTCTCTCAAACTACCGTAGATGCATGCCACAGCCAGCCAAAAAAAAAAAAAAGAACGCGAAAAAAAAACACGCAAAAAAAACTTGTGTTTTATGTCCCAATATCGGATGGCGGCATATTAAAAGTATAAAGTTGCTGCCATCAGTCGCAGAAATCGCATATGTCGAGGTCGCTGCTGTTGCTGCTGCTGCTGCTGCTTCTACTGCTGTTGATTATGAGTTAAATTATATATTTGCGTGTCAGAGGAGCTTATAATAAAGCACGAAAAGTATCTGAGTAACTGCGGCGTCACAAAAGGTGACTGACTATAAAAAAAAAGAACAAGCAGAAGCCGCGACTCACATGCATGCTAAGCGCAACAACGTAAATTGTTTTTGCCAAAAAAGAAAATCTGAAACCAAAGACATTTGTCACAAGCACACACAAGCACACACACACATGGACACACGCAAATAAATAGAGGCACAACATGGCGTATGAGGAACATGCGATATCGCCTTACACTGCGCCAAACAATCAAAGTGAAATTAAGTTTATATATTTAATGCTACTTATATGAGCCATCGCCGCTTTACTTGCTATTTGTGAGCCTAGTCTGGCCTAGTCTGTGCCCCAAAAAGTAGGCAGCACAAAGCGAAATTAAAGCCACAGCAGAAGAAAAAAAAATAGAAAAGAAGTAAAGAACATTGAACAAAAGTTTTTTTTTTAGATTTTCACTGATTAATGAGAAAAGTTTTATTTAGTTCTCGGATAGGGAACACCCTTAGTATCGAACTGCGGCAGTTTTAATTACACACACACGCAGACAGCTACAGCTGCGGAGGGTTGGGGTGTGTGACGCGTAATTAGTTTGAGTCGCCATTGAAAACGCATTTCGCCCCGCTGCTCACAACTACAAAAAGCACACACAAAATGCAGGTGACATTAATTAATTGATTTTTCTTTTTTTGCTCTTTTGCTACAATTTTATGTGTAAGGCAAAACTTTAAAGCTGCATTCACTTTTTAACAAATATATATATATATATATATTTTACGATCTGTTTGCGTTTTGCAGACACTTCCCGAGCTGGTGATAAATACGAGACCACATCAACCGTCAGCGGTTATACGAAATATATGAAGTTAAAAATTCGCGCCGTTGGGCCAAATGATTTTGGCACCTATCGCTGCGTAGCAAAAAATTCGCTGGGCGAAACCGATGGCAACATTAAGCTCGACGGTGAGTGACATTGCGACACATATTTATTTATTCTTTCTGTATGTTTTTTTCTTCTTTTAATTATTCTTTTTGCAATTTATTTATTGCACTTGCGCAAAACTATCAGAAATATATTCACATATTTAATTTGCTGCGCATCAGTTTAATTGTCAAGTTTTTTTTTTATTTTTGATCAGTTTTTAAGAGGTGACATTAATTTAAAGATTTTTCTTTAAAACTTGCCAATGATTCAGAAAAAAACCTGTTCATTGCCAAAATAAATTAAGCTTAAAATTAGAGTCATTAAGTCGTATATATATGTATGTGGTAGAGTTTATTGATTATTCATAGTTAAATTAACTTTGCCGCGGTCAACATTAAAGGAACAAATAATACTTGCTGATAATGTTATGCTGTAAGGACAATTTAACCAAACATTTTAACGATAATTGTATTGATGTCAACATGATTTTAAAAATAAAAGTTCGGTGATAGTTGTCTTTATAAAGCGACTCTTTGAGCCCAAAATTGACTGCTGGGTTATGCTCTAATATAAGTTTGATTATTTCATTATTGGTTTGATTTATTAAGTGTTTATATTGCTGTATTTTAACTGTTGATAATTCTTTACGAAATTAATTATTTTATTTTCAACAAATGTAATTGAACATTTGGAGAAGTTAATTCTTCCACGAATGAAAAATAAATTTGTATTCTCCCTTTACAGAAATGCCGACACCCACAACAGCAATTATATCGGAGATGGCCATGTTAAATCGTAGCTATGGTATGTAATTCAATATTATAAATTAATTTCATTTTAAATATCATTAAGCACAAACTCACTCACTCAACCTCGTCTAAATTGGTTTTACATAATTTGTATTAATAACTTTATGCACCGCAAATCATCAGCATAAAAAGCACCAAACTTTGACCCAAAAGTTAAGAATCATCAGATGGGTAGAAAATTTTTATTTAGATCATCAGAACTAAGACTAAGAACTTTAAAGTATTTTGTGTTCGAGTCGTCTCTATAAGAGTCTTGAAATGTCTACTGGCCATAATCTACGCAAATTGCTGCAAATACTAACAAAAATGTTGTCAGACCGACTTGAAACTACGGCGGTCAGCCAAAGTCCCTACACAGGACATCAACTTGCCCCTTTCGCACATGAACCCTTTTACCCCTCATCAAGACTCTCATCCCATTTGGCAGCTTGCATGCAATTTTCTGTGTCCATTTCGCTTGTTTTACCACATTTACTTTTGTTTGTTGTGTTTTTTTTTATTTGTTGTTGTTGCTGCTCAGACGGCTATTAAATGCAAATAAATGCAAAAATTAAATAAAAATACTTGGAATACCATTACGTCTATATGTAAATTCGTTTTTATGTGCGTTTTTCTTTTACTCTCTCCATTTTTTCTCTCCCTTAACCCAACCTTTTCAACTTTTTGGTTTTTTAAATATTTCTTTCATGTTGCCTGAAAAAAAATAAACAAAATGATAATAAACAAAACTCCAACCAACAACAACAAAACCGCCATTATTCATATACCTTGTACCGTGCCAAAAACACGTCCAACTCTCTCTCTCTCTCTCTCTTTCTATCTCTCGTACTCCCTCTCTGTTGCTACGACTGATTCTTGCTGCATAAAATTATACAAAAAATCCAACTTAAACCAACTTCACATTGCAAAAGATGGCAAGAGACGTCATAGAAATAAATTTGAGTCGGCTAACGCTTTGCCTGATTACGGGGTTGAGGAGTGGCGTGACGGTGCTCAAGGTAAGTACCCGCTACGAGTAGTCTACCCCTTGTACCCCTCTCCGTTAACCCAAACATACAAAAAGCATCCTTTGTAGGTGCCCGGGTCCTGTATCTGTAGGTGCCTTTTTGATAGCCATTGCTGCACTTTTTCATCATTTGCACATAGTTCCTCTGCACTGCATCTGTTCTCCTCTTATCATACATCTGGCTCTCTCTCCTATCGCTGTTGCATTTTCTTTTCATTCATCTTGTATATTTTTCATATTTCAAGTGCGTCGCCGTTGGCTTTTCCCGTGTTGCCAGTTGCCATAATGCAAAACTTATAATGGCAAAATTCTCACTGTGCGTATTTCGCTTGGTGCTTGGTGCTCGCTGCTAGCTGCTGGCCGCTCTTTTGGCCTTTTGTTTGGCCATGGCCAAGTGTTTAGCGCCAACGTTAAAAATTAATTAAATTTCCTTGACGTTTGCATCTCACAGTTTTCCGTTTTTCAGTTTTCATTTCATGTTCAACTGCAAATAAGCAGTGCACTTTATTGCCTCCTGCACCAAGAGGCGGCAATATCGCATCTTGGATTTATGAAGTGCCATAAGCATAAGGCGCACAACAAATAAGTCGGCAATCAAAGGGGGCACAGAATGGGGGCGGAAGAAGCAGCCGAAGAAATAAGTAGTTAAGAGTTATAGCCGTGTTTTTGAATGGTTAAAAAAGCTCCTCAACTGTTTTTTTTTTGTTTAAAATCTTATAAGTGCGAACATTTTAGATCTATCTGCGCAAAACTGTTTGGCCAGACAGACTGACTAACTGACTGACTGACTGATCTACGAGACCAACATTTTTGCAGAAGCTTCTTTTAGGAAGTGGTGCTTTAATGTGCTTTAATGTGTATTATTATTTAATGTGTATGTTATTTAATATTATGTTTAAACATATTTTCCTGTTTTATTCAGACTTCCCACACATTAAAAGTCTTAGTGATTTATAAAGGCAAATACTAAAATAGTTAAAAATGTTTTCATTTTATATTGAGAATAATATTAAACTTGATTAAAAATGAACGTGAAGCAGTAAAAGACAAATTTGACGGCGGAACTATATTTGATTTTATACGAACAAAGCCAGACCAAATATTAGTTATGCAAACTACGATGCAGCTGATTGATAATTGATTCTATTTTGAATATGCGTACATTTGGTATATTGGCAGCAATTTGTAATATCTTTTACGAAATTTAGCCCATAATGTAAATAATAGACCAGCAAATCAATTTCTCGCTAATAACAACGGCATTTCAATTAAACTGCGGTAAAAGTGCGTATAAATCTGATAAAACAATATTCAGCTAAACGACTAAACGGTGTGGCACAATAAAAAAATCAAAAAGGATACCAGCCATGGGAATGCAGGAGCGGAATGCAGCCCGCATGGTTCACATCAAATCAACCACAAAAGCTAACCAACAAGTTGAGGGCAGGTCGGGAAGTGCGCAGGGTGGAAAAAAGCAACTAAGCCACAAAATGCAGCCACAAAACACAACCAAGCAACAATTTATTTTGTATTTTATTCTATTTTCATTTCGAATGCACGCCAGACATTTGAGGCGGGGCATTTGTAAATGCTTCACACTCAAAACATGTGTGTGGGTGTGTGTGTGTGTGTGTGTGGATGTGTGGATTTGTGTTGGCGTGTGTCTGTGCTAGTTTCTCTTTTTGCCGTTCAAATAAATCTGTTGCAATAAAAACGCCATCAATCGCATAGCCCAAACAACAACAACAACAGTAACAGGCAACAGCTTAAATGCTGATTGACACTGACATTGTGACGTTGTCAATACCAATATCCACGTCTGTCCAGCCGCAGGATGCACGCGTGTCCTGTGCAGCATTTTTCACGAAAATATGTCGCAAATTAGTCGCAAAAAGAACTCACGGCAAATTAGCCATAACCAGCGTCTGGTTTTATTGCGGTTTTAGCCAACATTTTTCAGCCTGCCTGGCTTTTGGGCACTTTTAATCCTTGAAACATAACAACAACAAAAACAGCAATAGCAATAACAACAAATCGCTGGCTAACGAAAAATATTTGCCAGCAAAAATGTTGATTGCATTTAAAATGCAATTATTTAAGGCACGCGTCCGTAAAATGCCGCTCAACCGACTGCACTAATGAACTGGATCTGAATTGTGCGGGCGGAACTGCAAAGGCAGAGGAGGTGCAGCGGACCTGCCAGGCCATATCTGTTGTCTGGGCAAAGGCTACGTATAAGCAGACAGCGGAGCTGGCAAGCGCAGTCGTGCATGACAAGTGCCTCAATAAGGGGAGCAAAAAAAATAGAAGCATACAAATAAGACTCCAAGAAGAAAAATACCCCTGAAGACATATAATTTAAATTTTTCTGCAAGAGAAATCTGAGACTAAAATTTAAATTTAATTAGAATATGAATTATAAAAGAACAAAGGTAAATGACATGATAAAGTCAATAATTGACAAATTCGGTCTATATATATTCATAAAATTTACTATGATCTCCATATATACAACTTTTTGTCCTGATTGACTAAGTGACAACTAACCGTCGAAATTTACTGAAGTAAGCTTTTCTGATAGAAATGCATGCTACGACGATTTTAAGAATTTTCTATCTTTAGATATGGAAAACAACACGGAACACGGTTAGATAAAACTTTTAGGTTTAGCATTCAACTGCCTGCAAACTCATATTTTGAAGGATATTTATGAAGAATTATCTGAGACGCGCTTTACACTCTTCCATCCATATCATAAGTATATATAGACTTCAACCTGTACTGCACAGACTTAATTAACTATGTTACATTGACTTTGAACCTGCTGTTGTTAGTTTTTTTCGTATAGATTTGAAGCAAGACATTTTGTCAATTTTTCTTATGTAGTTAATTTAGAAAAAGTAAAAATGTATTCAGTTGCCGGTAATAAAAAAAGTCACTCGCAAAAAGATCTTTAAATATTGATTTTGTAAAAATATAAATTCATAAAAATAAATATATTTTCCATCAAAAAAAAAAGAAGAGAAATACAACAAAAATGCCACAAAATGCTTTTTTGATTGATTTGCGATTGACAGCTTTGACAGAGAGTTTTCAACGTTTTGTTTTGCCGACGTCGCAGCTTATAAATAAAATATCACATACATATATATATGTATATGCGAGTGTGTACTATATAGGGTCATAGGCCGCAGAGCTGAAGCTGAAAAATCAGAACAAAGATGCGTGGCGTAAAATTGGAGAATATTTATTGCCCCGAATTGGCATCGAATGAAATATGCCATCAAAAATGTCTGACTGTCGCTCTGACACCTTTTCAATGTGTTCTCAATCAAGCGTGAATGCGGGCATTCACAAAGACACCCCACACACACAGACACACACAGACACACATGCACTATTGATATTTATGTCTTTGACATCAATCAAAGAGGAATACGAATTTCCAACTAAATCTTGCTGAGACCCTTAAACAAACAGCTCAAGGCAGAGCTATGCTGGCATATATGCGTGTGACTGTTTGTTTGTCTACTCACTTGATGCTCTTGAAAATCGCTTAAATTTGGCCTATTTGAAGTGTTTAGTGTTGGAGCAACTTTATTTGAACATTGACGCATCTATCACTTTATATTTATGACTTTGACTGCAGTAAAAGACAACAACAACTGCCCAAACTGGCCCTATAGCCAACAACAACAAGAACAACAAATATCACACCAAACACCACAAAAGACCAGCAGGAAAATCAACGCAATTCGCGCTTAAATACCACTTTGTTGTTATTTATGACGCCAGCTGATGAAAAGCCAAATGCCAAAAGATTAAAAGCAGATAAAATATATTTAATAGCCCTCATATGTATGTACTTTTACCAGCGCACACTATGAACTCCCTGTGTGTGTGGATATGTGAGGGTACAGTGGTGCACATGTGACGAAATTGTCAACAAAATATTTCAAATAATATTAAATAAAGCGTTTTCGCTTCTTCTGCATGGACTAGGTAATGAAAAGCTAATAAATTATTGCCACACATATTCAAAAACAATTCGAACCATTAAAAGCCTTTTAGCTCATGTTGTTGTTATTATTATTTATAAATATTCTAAAATTATTAATACCGTATTGAAGAATATTGAAAGGCCTAAGGGCCAATCTTAGTTAAGATAAGGATAAAGATAAGGATAATGGTACCCAAGATAAATGATATATGTAGCAGTCGAGTATTTACAAGATTTTGCTTATAAGTAGGCAGCCTATACCAATAAATACAGAATTTGGTTTTGATATCTTGGAAAACAAACAAGATGTTCATACAAAATCCCGTTCATTCGGACCGCCTTAGTAGAGTTTTGTGGTTAGCGTTCAAAGTTATAGTTTATCAAATTTGCAACTCTTGAACAATACTTAAGCCACTGTGTCGACCATATATCAAACATTGACATGCGGTCAACAAAGTGCGTTCAATGACGTGCATAAAAACCAAAAGCAACTACAATAACAACAACAACGAGAAGCACCCGAGTAGGATGGGGTGGACAGCACTCAATCAACCAGAGACAGGGACAAACTCTGTCCAAGCTTGGGTACATTGACTGCCAGCCTTATAAAGACGCACAGAAGCACACAGCACGGTAAAATATTGTCGAGTAATCGCTGTCGAAACGCTCGTCGAATGCATTGACGATATAAAGACACACAATGACATTGTAAAAAAAAAAATAAAAGACAGAGAGAGCGAATGGAAACTGGGGGAGAATATGTATAAAAATGTTAAGAGGGACTGTCGCAAGTAAAAGATGTCAACAAGCAGCACCGAAATGGACGCCATTCGGGGAGCTTGCTTAAGCGAGCCCCATAAATAGAGCTGTCGACCAGAGGGAACGGGTAGATGGGAAAGAGGAAAGGGTCGATTGTGGTCAGTTGTCAAGCTGTTGCCCAGTTATTATAAATTAAAAAGCTTTGAAATTACTTATTCTTAAATGCTATAATGCGCAAACATATTAACCTTCTACCACAACTACGGTTTATTTGAAATAGTTTTAAAGCGAAATATACAAAGTAATTCCCATGAAAACCTTATATTTTCTTTCTATATTATTAAATATTTTTATTGTTAAAATTACAAATCTTAAGACAATTTTAGGTTTGGAAAATATGTAGTATATACGCCAACTTATATTTTGGAAATACTTTTTTCAATCTAGATTAGATTTAAAGAAATTTAAATTAATAATAATAGTTCCAGACATTTAATTGAAAAAGTAAATGAATACTTTAACATAATGCAATTATTGACCGTAATCAGGTTTATGGAAATATTGTGAAAATTCTTTTTTAAACAACTTAAATATAAATAACATAATATTAAATATTAATATCATATTATTTATTTTAATATGTTTATTTTCTCATTACCTGTTTTATTAATTTCCCTTGAGGGGTTTTCCATGAAATATTTCATTAAACATTTAACAAGCTACAGCTACAGCACTAAGATAATTAAATCCCACTGCCAATTTTGAGGTTTGTCAGGCAAGTACGCCAATCCATTTGGCTGTTGGCCTAGCAAACATCAATTGGCCCAAACCGCAAAGCTGCAAAATCAATAAATTAACAAGCAATAGTCATATAACCGGTCAGGCGCTACGAACTATTAAATGCATAGCACACACCCCGCAGCAATTTTCTTTTATCACCGACAACCCAACTCTCCCCCCCCCCCTCCCTCCTTTATGTCACCCCTCTTCCAGCCCCTTGATATATCCATTTATCCAATGCCATTTTAGCTTTGGAAACGCGCAAAATAAATGAAAATATAAACCCGACTAACCAAAAACTGATTACTACAAGAGCTCATATATACCCACAAACTCTTCTCTTCTCTCCTCTGTTCTTCTCTCTTCTTTTCTTTTTCTTACTTTCGATTTGCAGGCAACCATGCTGGCAACACTGGCGATAACAATCAAACGCCCGTGCGTAATCCGCCCGGAGCATTTCACAATTCTGCAGGCTCACTGGCACAGCATAATCTACTTGGTAAAATAATGCGCGGCATTAAAACGCAATCATTTGGGATTTTCAAACGTTTATCGAGTTATTTGCCAGCGGCGCTGCTAACGTCGCTGCCAGCGACGCGGTGGCGTATGAGTAATATGAAAAACCAGGCCCCCACCCAGCCACTAGAGGGCGCTGTCAGCGCGCAGTCAAACATAAACAGCAGCATCTGCCAAAGGACAAACAGCGGCGGCGGCAGCAGCACCACCAACAACAACAACAACAACAACAGCATCCATGACAACAACAATAACAGCAATCGATGGGCGTGGCAGCGTGAGCTGCGCATATTTCACATTGCTCATACGCCGCGTGTGACGCAATGCCATTGGCCAATGCTCATTTGCATAGTAATATTGGCAGGCAGTTATGTTGTTGCCACGGATCCTATGCCAAAGTTGTTGTTGCTGCTGCCGTTGCCGTTGATGTTGCTTTTGCTTTTGCTTTTGCTGCATTTTATCGGCAGCCGCATCGCATTTTCTATTAGTGCGGCGCATAGGCAACATTTAATGTTAACATTTTGGGCTGTTGGTAATAAGGTTGCCGCATTGTTGCCGCAAATTTATACAACAACAGGAGCGGCAACAAAAACAACAACAATGGGGCTAAAAGCAACCAAGCCAAACACATTTGCTGTGCTTTGCCAGCGCCAGTATTCAAGATGAAATCAAATAATTGCAAAAAACTCATTTAGGGCACAACAACAACAGCAACAAAGACAACAAAAACAACTTCAACAAAAAGCAGCGCGGCAAGAGCGTGAAAAATAGAATCAAACTTAGACAAGTAAGAAACTGAATAAAGTTGTGCAAGGCAGCACTAGAAATACTCATAGAGACACCCTCATACTCATATACCCCCATATACTTGAACTACATGCGTATATATGTCGTATATAGCATACATGTATAGCTATAATCGTAGATATGTTTATGCTTGCGCGCGTAAAATGAATATCATGTTAAATGGCACTCGCTCTGAGCGACTGTTGATTAAATGAATAGTCAGCCAAACAGCAATTGGCATTACGAGTTTTTCTCTTGGCTTTTAATTGCCAATCACCACTTGGATATTAAGTTTTCCTTCTTCATGTTCCGTTTCGAGTGTTCGCAATTCGATAAAGCTAATTAGCTACTTTACAACTATTTCACATTAGCTGGCAAATGTATTGTTGCTCTCTATTTTTTTTTAAATATCCAATTATTTATAGTTGATAAAATAAATTGGCGTATTAACATTTAACATTTCTTACCGTTTTAAGGTTGAAGGTTTTCTTTTTATACCCTGAACTCATTTAAAACGGAAAAAGGGCAAATTGTATTCGTGCGATATGTAAATGTATGTAACAGGTAGAAGGAAGCATCTCCGACGCCATTAAGTGTATATATTTTTGATCAGCATCAATAGCCAAGTCGATCTAGCCATGTCCGTCTGTCTGTCTACCCGCCCGCCCGTTCGTCCGTCCGTCCGTCCGTCCGTCCGTCTGTCTGTATATATGAGCGCAAGCATATCAGAACCTATAAAAGCTAGAGAAAGTTTAGATGTAGGCCTCCTAGTGCCTGCGCAGATCGAGTTTGCTTCCGATAACCGATAACTTGTCCCGTTTCCAAGTAATCGATATAAATCTTTATCGAAATCCTGATTTTTGGGTAATTTTGGTATTAATAAGAGCTAGAGTCACCAAACTTAACAAGTAGCTTCTAGAATAGTATATATAATAGCATTTGGTGTTGGAAGAAGAGGGCTTAGGGTGTCCCCTAGTCGGTAGCTCCGAACTAGAACCTCTTGTTATTTGTAAAGTTTTTATAAATTACATAAATATATTTATTTATTATTAAAACTTACACTTGCCTAAAATGTTCTAAATTTTCATAATTTAAAATAATTTTTCAAACGTACCCTAAAGTTTAGCAAATAGGTGCAGGTGGCATTCAATCCTGTGCGAAAACATTTTATCATTATTATTATTTACTTTTGAATTTCCAAATTGTGACACTATTTCGCTTTGCTATGTGAAATAATTTACATATTTATTTCAAATTGTTTTTATCATTAGTGGTTCTTCTTGAATGCGTTTCGAATGCGAACTGCCAAAAGCCAATTGCTGTTGAAATATTAACAAAATGAAAGTGGAAATGTTTGTTTGCTCTGCATGCAATTAATTTTCAAATCAATTCAAATATGCGCGAACTGGAAATGTTTATACACAAATAAATTTATGAAATATTCACAAAAGCAGTAAAAGAACAAACAAACACAAAAGTGAATCTCTCTAAATGAGAGACACAACTGATGGTTCAGCATGTAAAGTTCAAACAAAAGCTATGCCTATTAAATGAACATAAATTAATTATATTAAACAATATAAATTCATAGCAATATGAAAAACACTGTTAATCAAATTTGCATTTAGATGAGCATATTTACAAACACACACACGTACATAGCGAATTTACATAGTAAATTTAGCGTAAATAAAAACCAAAGCAAAAAATTTAAAACAAAAAAAAAACAAAGAAGTTATAGACACACGATATGCAGAAAATATATATGTTTAACTTAGTCATATATTAGCTAGTGATACGGATTATTATATCATTAATTATTTTTTATTTATGTGCTAATTGGAAGGGAAGCAAATTGCTTGATAATAAGCTTACCTTAAGGCAAATGTATTTAATTAAATTTTATTACAGTTCTAATTTCATTTTATAATTTTGTTTGTCGAAAAGGGCAGAATATAAACCTTTTTTGCCTTTCTAGTAAAACATGTAAATATTAAAAATATAATAATTGTATTACTTCCTCTGCGCTGTAAATAGAAGAGCAAATATTTCAACTAAATTAATTAATGTCTAAAATTTAAGTATTGTTTAAAGAAAGTCTAGTAACCAAATATAAAACTTTTAGTTATGCTTTCAAACTGTGTAAATATAATTAGGTATTAAATAATGACAGTTAAATAAATGTTGAAATGTTGAATAAATTAAATATATATATATATATATATATATAAACTATTACAAGCTAATTAAGTAGACAGTAAATACCCAATCAGCATTTAGTACTTACTTATATAAACCTAAAACAAACTAATGAATTGCTGTTGAATATATAAAAAATATATATGTATATGCATTATATGTATTTATGTTAAGCGTACATAAAAAGCGTAAAGAAGCTCAGATAATTGTATGTCTAGTATCTGCATACATATGACTATATATAAATATATATACATTACGATTTCATAAGGATATGTATTGTGCAGCTGTATGTGAATAAGTTGTGGCATATCTATGTAACATATATTTGTATGTAAATGTATGCAAAAGTTTACAATAAAATAAAACTTACAAATAACTCTGTAAAAATAATATTAATTACTATCCATATGTATATTAATAAGCGTGACACTTGCTGCCCTTCTTTGTATAGTTGCAGACGAATGCCAGCGAACGGATACAACTTTCAAGGACAACGCAGAGAACGTCCCAGAATGGCTATAAGAAACGAAAAGAAGCACACCATAAAAAACAACAACAAATAATTGAATCAGATCAGAAAACTTTAACATGTACCTATATCAAAAAACATATTACGTATCCTTTATTGAGAAACATTATTATATATATAAAGAAAAATATGTTAAGATATAGCTGGATGCTTGTGCCGGACTGATCATAGTTTTACATATTTTTTAGGAATAAACTCACCCTTCCGTCTATTTACAGGGTATTTGAACACAAAGCACTGCAGCCAAGCACATAATCGTTGGCAAAAACGGCACACATTTCCAAAAACCAGAAAGCACATATACACACTCACACACAAACACGTGCGAAGTGGAAAACTGAATGGCAACAACTGAAAACAGTCTCGTCTTTATTTAAAACCGGGCAAAAAGATTTTCTCTCCGCTCCTTCAGCCTCACGTCGTATTCGTATTTAAATATTGTGCAGCATTTACAGCCGACGTTCTGTTGAAATTGTTGCGGCTGCCATTGAAATGTTGTCGTGTGGAAGTGAGCATATTTTCCAAGCAATTAGTGGCTGGAAAAGCGCACGCCAAATGGACAACAAAGTCGAAGACTGGGTCAAGTGAGCGGCACATAAAAACATTAACATGTAGGTGAATGCATATGGGCACAGTCTGTACAAAACGCGGGCAATCATCTCTTGGCCATGGCCTGTGTGCGAGACTTTAACAATTTAAAGAAACAGTGAGTATAATTATCTTGCATATTTATTAAAATAAGAATTTCATATTTTCATCTATATTACCTTTTCAATATGCCAATCGATAGGACTGATCCCTACGTGTCCCGAATGGTATACGATTCCAGAATCGGACAAACGAAAGGTAAGGGTGCACAACATTTTTTAACCCATCCATTTTTTTTATGCCAATCGATAGTACTGATCTTACGAGTCCAAAATTCAAAAATCGGACATTATTTGGACGAGATATTCCTAAAAATGATCCTAAAAAAGATCAACTATTTTAATTCTCTTGAATGTCAATTAATAGTAGGGATCCGTACGAATTTAAAAAGGTATGATATTTCAAAATTAATCTTTATTTACTCGAAATATTAAAACAAAAAAACTTAACAGTTTTGATTTTCGAACAGACCCTCATTTTAATAAAAAGCATTATTGTAAAATGTCTGATCCTTTAATTTTTATTGCAGGTCGAGTCAGCTGTTACATATGATTCTTATACATCGAATGCTTTGGAAATCTGCAGGTATTTAGCCAATAAATGGTTTTTTTCTCTAATAAGAACATTATTTAAAGAATGGACCATAACTGTGCCATTTCAGGGATTTGATGTCTTGATGTCCTTTGACCAACATATACTCGTCATCTCTGCAACTCGGAATATACAAACAAAGAAAGTTTTTTGAGCAGCTGGGAAAAGCATTTATTTGTTTATAAACAAACTATTTGTATTAACCGAAGAATCAAGTGGCCAAAGAACATCACTATGGTCCTTGTGGTGTTCGAGATATGAGTATTTATTCTTCAAAAGGACAATAATCACATAATTGGCTATTTTGTAATCTATTGTGCAGTCCTTTGGTCATTAGATAGTCCTTATCTGTAAAATCCAGCATATACAATGAAAAGGACGAATGTGCCTCATCAAGCTGAACAAGGATTAATTTATGTGTGCACAAAATTACCTATAGTTCCGCCATATCCTTGCGGTTCCTGACGAGTCTTGTGTCGAACAACTCATAGTAAAGAGGGCTACCAGTTTGCCAAAGGACATCAATATCGTCCTTGTAGTTTCCAAGATATCAGGGATTTTTTTATTATAACATGAGTCCTTGCATCCTCCGCTGAAATTGATCGAATCCCTGAATTTTTAAATGCAGTTCGATACAGCTCGTCCTTACGTTCCCAACGCACCATGTCCTTTGAAAATCCGTCAGGATTTGGTTGAGCTAGAGCTATTTTTCTAAAAAGGACATTTTATTTTTGGTCATAGCTTTGTTATATCCTTAAGGATATCGGAAGGATATACCTTTTTGAACTCGTGGGGAGCAGGACTATCGATTGGCATTCAACGATTTCCCTATTTCAACAAAAAATTTCTCCGAAATTTTTCACAGGGGTTTAGTCAGAAAATTGGCCAAAATCAAAAATTTCCGGGCTAACTTTGCCATTTGAAGGACTATCGGGATGTCCTTTACACAGCTGAATGTCCTTACCCTCACATTTAAGAATATACAACCCGAAGGACGATAGTCCTTCAAACGACAAAGTTTTAAGGACATTTTCGGCTACAGAAAATAGGCCATAACTCGGCTATATCCTTGCATATCCTGGCAGGACATGTGTCAAAAAAATTGTGCCGACTAGGTCCACCAACTGGCCAAAGGACATCAAGATCGTCTCAGAAGTCTCAGAGAAATAGCGATTTTAGTGAAATTTTGTGATTTCAGCCAATTTTCCTTGCGGCCCGCGACAAAATTTACTAAGTTGATGATTCTTAGATGACCCCATAATGTTTGAATGGACTTCGATGCAGTTGGTCTCCACGATCCTAACGCGCCATGTCCTTTGAAAATCTGCAAGGATATGACCGAGTTATGGCAACTTCTTTAGTTAAAACACATATATATATTTCGAATGCCATTTTTAATTTAAATATGTTTTTATATCTTTTCAGATTAAAGGATTCAAGGACTCTAATGGATACTAAAGATTTTCAAGGATTCTTGTCGATTCCAGGACGTTTATTGAGCCAGATATAGTCATTTTAAGTAACAATTGAAAGTACATAATAATTTTCATAAAAATAAATAAATTTAAAACTAATAAACAAATTCCTGCTTTTTTACTTTCAAAGGATATGGTATTGCAACATATTCAAAAATCAACCGTAATTAAAAATCTGTCCGCTGGCTGCCAAGATATTTCATAAATTCTTCTAAAATACCAGGCGAACAGAAATGCCCAGAAGGTCGACGAAATCTTCGAGTAAAACATTTTGTTGCATACGCGTTAGGGGCAAAATGTGACTCATTTAAAATGAGTTATGTTAAGCAGTAACTCATGTAAAATGAGTGCTGTAAAGACGGCTGTTAAGTAACAGCAGCATGTAAAAGGGCTGCTGAAAGAGAAAACATACATATTTTTTGACCATATTCTTGCCAATTTCGCTAGAATAAGGTCCTGTTAAGTTTTTTTGTTTTAATATTTCGAGTAAATAAAGACTAATTTTGAAATATCATACCTTTTTAAATTCGCACGGATCCCTACTATTAATTGACATTCAAGTAAATTTAAATAGATGGGTCAGAAAAAAGTTGCGGACCCAAATAATGACAGATTTTGGAATTTTGAACTCGTAAAATCAGTATTATCGATTGGCACCAAAAAAAAAATTAGTCATAATTTTGAGCTTTTTGCTCTAATAATAAATATATCAAATTGTCAGAATAAATATCTCGCTTAACTTTGAAGCTGACTTATAGCCCGACTACGTAGTTAAATAAATGTTTATTTACTTGGAAATGATATCAGTGCATTATTTACAAAAAACTAAAAACAAAAAAAAAACCAAATAAAAAACACGCTTTACTGGCAAGTGCAAAAAGTGAGTGTAAGCCTGGGCAACGAAAATGGCATTTGCCAGCATTTCTTGACAGGACCTTTGTTCCTAACATCCTTTTTATGGCAAGCTCGCCTGCGTATGCGAGTGGAAAATTCAATTTGCAAAGTGCATAAAAGTAGCAGCAGCAGACGACAGCATTGCCGATGAGAGGATGCAACGTGTGAGATTTTCACTCCGCGCGTTGCGTGTTTGTTGTTAAACAAAAGCGGCAGCTACTCTAACCCAGTTAGGTATACTACCATATACATACAGAACCAGATCTAGAAACAAAAACAGACCAAAAGCCAGCAGCCAGAGCCTGAAGCCAGAAGCAGAACTTGCAGCAGAGACAGACGCTGAGACAGACTCCACTGTTGATGCAGCGAACTGCAAGCTTTGCGGGATGCGGTTAGAGGGGCAGGTGCATAGAAGCATGCAACAAACAAGTGGCACAGTGGCATAAACGTTAACGTAAACGTTAACGTAGACGCAGCGCCCGAGTAGCGCAAACATTGTAATTAAATCTACGTCAACATAAACGACGAATACGAATGGAGAAGGCAATGGGAATATCACTAGGTAATAAAGTGATGGGGTGACGGGGGGAAATCGGTGTGTGCATGGCAAAGGGAATACATGTGTGTGAGTGTATGATGTTAACGAAACTTTTATAGGTATGTGTGTGTTTGCCTATATACCCTATAATATACACAGTAAGTATATAGAGTGTAAGACTTGCCATTTTCGCCTCGTATCCTTATTTAGCATTTTATGCATTTTATGCATTTTCCAATTTACCAAAAATGGCATCTGTGTACCCCGAATACAGGGTATCACTGAGTCGTGCTGCTCTCATTTGTCACTAATTGCTAGTTCTGTTAGCTGTTAGCTGTTGACTTTTGAGCCATAGCTGTGCACAGCTTGGCCAGGAAAGTGACGCAGGCTTTGCCAGCTCTGTGTGTGTGTGTGTGTGTGTGTGTGTGTGTGTTATCCTTATGACGGGCTTTGTTTTGCCGCGTGACACCGCCAAGGCAAGCGAAAGTTGCCGTCTTGTCGGTGCTGCTGTTGTTGTAACAGCAGAGATATACACCAGGTAACACAGGTGAAAGCACGAGAATAATTGTAGAGCATCCATTTCGACAAGTGGGCGGGCGGGCAAATGATCTCTGATCTCCGCTTTGAAGTTTTCCTTTTCATATTGCCTTTTTTGCTCTCACGTTTAGTTAATCCAATTTGTTAGCTCACTTTCAATTACAATTACATTTCAAAAGGGCAGAGTCCTGTTTGTCCTGGCCCTGCATCAAAATTCTTTATGTGGCATGTGCTTGTTGTTGTCTTTTTCGGCATTCTGTACTTGACACTTTTCAATTGTTTTTGATAAGAGTAACTGAAAAGTTAAATTGCATTTAGCATAGTCAGCAAACGAATGAAAAACAACTAACTGACAGTTGGTTTCGAGTAGTTGGCAATTATTTAAAGCTTATTTTGTCACTCTGTAAAAGTCTCTTGAGCAGCTGCAAAAAATTTGTATATATGGTAAAAATGAATTATATTATAATATTCTATATTATATGTTCCTATTTCTATCTGATTATTCCTAGTGCACAGAATTGTTTAGTGGCCCAAGTAGAGTCTTAGGTTTATTGATTTAGAAATGAAAGCTGAGAGCAGTATTTCAAGCAATACGCAATAACTGCGAGCAGAGCAAACGCATATATCTGCAGCAATTAAAACGTAGCTAAAAGGCATAAATCACGCATACGCCCCATTGAGTCCGTGCATTGCGCAGTGGCCATAAAAAGCATACGCAAAATGATTTCAGCCTGCCTTCAAAAATCTACTCGGTTGACCTAATTTGTATCCATTAGACAGGCGATAAATAAACGAGGAAGGAGTCTGGTTAGCTAAATCGATAGGCTGTTCATATAACTTATGGCTTGAGGTGGCCCGCAAATTGCCCGTCAAGTGTTTGCTGTCCTGGAAGGGTTAGGCTTCAACAGTATATTAAGTTGCAGCATGGCTTTGATAAAGGTCAAAAGCGACCGGCAATTAAATGGCCAAGTAATATGATGCCAACGCCAACACTGAGAGCAGGCGTCACTTATGGCTAATAGCCCTGGATGGGCCGTACGAAAGGATGTACCAATAGGGCAATAACTTAGTGCGTGTTGACGCTGATATCCTTTGCTAGCCACTTATCATAACGCTTAAGCGTTGATGGCTATCCCCACTAAGCCCTCGAGCTGTGCTTGTTCGGCGAGACACGCACATGCTCCTGCAATTATGCTAAAAGCGTTAAATTTATAGTTTCCCCATACTCGAGCAGCGACTGCCATTTTTAACATGGCTCCTCATGTCTGCGTCTAAATAAATGGCTTTTAGAGCACGCGTTAATGATGTTGATTGTTGTCCTGGGAGCCCCAGGATCACCGCACCCGAACACGAACCCGAACCCGAACCAGAGCCCGTACTCTATCCTCAGCACCGACAGTTGCCCACCTTTTCATGTTTAATGTTTTTGACTAATGTTTTATAGCTGCAACGCGTCTGCAGCCGGTTCCAGTAGTTCTGCCTCCTGTTGCCACCCCTCTCCTGCTCTTGGCCTATGTCTGGTTTATTTTTATGATGATATATGGCCTGCGTTTTCGGTTTCATATTGGACACTCGCCGGTGCCTGTTTAAAGGATTTAAGGCCTTATTTATTATGGGTATGCTACCTGTTTATGATTCTGCAGAAAGCCGCAAACATTTTGCGACAACACCTAGTGCGTCCTCTCAACTTGTACATTGTTTACTATTAGCACAATATTTCATGTCTTTACATTTTTTTAGTTTTGTGTGTTTCCCTTAACCTAAAAATAATAATGCGATATACTTGCTTTAATATTTATACGGACAAACTGTTGACTTGCCTTCCACGATTAATACACGAGGCTTAATCGAATTTTAACAAATATTAGAAAACGAATTTTTAATAAACTTGCGTTACTTAAGGATAAATTATTCTTCTATTAAACATAAACGTAAATCTAAATATTTATTTTCATTTTCTCAGCCTTTAGCAAACAACTTTTGCTATTTAGTTGCATAATTGAATTAACAGAGTTTACTTGGCAAGGATTAAACTGTCTTCCCGGTATTTCATTTAGAGTGCATGCGGTAAATTCTCGTAATAAACAAAAAGTTCTTCGCACACACACACACACACAAAAACACACATCCGCCCAGTTGGCAGCAGCAATAAAACAAGAAAAGCAACGAAATGCGCTTAGTATGCAACTTTTTGCACCAACGCCCCAAATAACATTAGCGAAAATCACTTAAATGGCTGTAATTTGTTTGGTGCACGGGGCGTATGCGTTACCTGTGGGCCCGCGGCAGCAGCTTATTGAAGCTCAACGAGCTGCTGCTGCACACAAACAAACTTAATACAACAAATTTGTGCCATTTGGGCGTAAAACAAAACACATTTAAAATTTTTAAAGTGCAGCCAAAGCGGAACCGCCCAGCACCCCAGAGAAAAAAAAAAAACCAATTCGCCGAAAAACTCATCACTCAAGCGCAGTTCACGGAATAAGTGCAAGGCCCACGCCCAACAGCAGCGGCCGAGCCAGCGGCAGCTGTAGCTGGAGCTGGAGCAACAGCAGATCCCATCAAACAATACACCAGTTTTTTAACACACACATATACACATGTTGTACAAACAATCCTCGTTGCGGCGCTGGGCGAACAGCCAGCAAAATGGTTTAAAACTCAATTAAAGTTTTAGCCGCAAAATAAATGCAAAAACGGCGGCGGCAGCGTCGACAACAGCTACAGAAACAATGATACTGCCCCAAAAAAGGTGGTAAGAGCTGGCATTACAAATAAATACAACGAACAATGTATGCTCTTTCTTATATTAAATAATTGAATGCAAAGCAGCGCACTAAATGAAAAGGTTAGCTTAGCTGTCAATCAGTTAAGACAGATCAAAATATTTGTGTTGTAACCTTTTTTAGGTTAAATAATAAAACTATTCTATCGTTAGAAATTAGAGAGCATAATTAAGAAGGATAGCGATTGCGAAAGTGTTGCAAAACGATTGACGAAGTTCTCAGTTTAATCAAGGGTTGCCCTTTCTTTGGCATTATCGATAGTCGTCGTTATCGAAACTATCGAGTACTCATAGGTATTTGAAAAGCATAAAGCAGGTAGCTAGCATTGGGTAAGGTGTTTACTACATTTCTCATCTTTTGTCTTATGCGCCAAAAAAACACACTCAAAAACACGTCCACAAGCAAATCACAGCCCTGTGATTGCCTCCTGAACCACAGGAGCCGCAGCAGTCGAGGCACTTTTTGATTGCTGTAATTCAAATGAAAATCGCACAATTGAATTGAATTTCCCGAAAAACTGCCGGAACTTTGATGAGCCTCCAGTTTGTGTGTTTGTTTTGTTTGTGATTAGTTTACACGCGGTGGTATTGGTGTCTAGATGCCGTTGTTTTATGCGCCTTCAACCGTTTTCTAGTCCATGTTTTATATTTTTTGGCTCGCTATTTGAAGTGCAGTTTGAAAAACAAATCGCTCAGAGCTTTGCTCGAGCTTAATGAAGTTTAACAACATTTAATGGTGCATTCTTTTTACACGCTTCTGCAAAAGTTTTGCGTTTATTTTATTAGAGCGTAAAATCGCATTTGGCAAATAGTTTAAACAACAAATACTGTACAGCATTCGATTCGCTTTTGGACTTGGATTATTGCTTATAAAATCAGAGACTTTTCAAAATGTGCATTGCGCAGTGAAGCAAGCATATCCAATAACCCTTTATATATATCCATATATATATATTATAAAATCTGCTTGCATATATTCCAGTCAAATTATAACAAGAGGTCCCGACTGGGGGATACCCTGAACCCTCTTCCTCCAACATCAAATGCATATATATATTTTATTTTAGAAGCTATATGTTTGGGGACTCTAGCTCTTATTATTTATTATTTGCCCAAAAAACAGGATATCGATATCGATTTCTATCGATTGCTTAGAAACAGAGTAAGTTATCGATTATCGGAAACAAACTTGATCTGCGCGGGCACTAGGAGCACCTACATCTAAAATTGCAAGTCTATAGCTCTTATAGGCTCTGAGATCCTTGCGTTCATACAGACGGACGGACGGACGGACGGACAGACAGACGGACATGGCTAGATCGACTCGGCTATTGATGCTGATTAAGAATATATATACTTTATGGGGTCGGAGATGCTTCCTTCTGCCTGTTACATACATTTGGATTTTGCACAAATACAATATATACCCTTATACCCATTTTTAATGGGTTCAGGGTATAATCATCGAAAAAGTTTCGATTTTCGCACCGACCTCTATTTTGAAACAAATCGTGATGTTAACCCCTTGCCATTTGGTCGATTTGGGTCAAAATTTTGGATTTCCTTTTTTTGATGCCAATCGATAGAACTGATCCTTACGAGTCAAAAATGGTATGAAATTGCAAAATCGGACATTATTTGACGGAAATATTCCAAAAAATCATCAAAAAGGTTGAATTTACGAACGAATCGGTTTTTTGGCAAAAACATTTTTTTTTAATAAAACGATGTTTAATTTGCTTGAATGCCATTTGATGGTAGGGATCCGTACGCATTCAAAAAGGTATAACATTTTAAAATCAGACATTATTTACCCGAGATATTAATAAAATATAATCGAAAAAGTTTCGATTTTCGCACCGACCTCGAATTTGACAAAAAAACGTGATGTAACCCCTTGCCCTTGGAACACATTTGAGCTCCTGGTGACTTAATTCTTAAATGTCAACTAACGAGAAATATATAATTTAAAAATATAAAAGTTTAGAGATAAATCAAAATGATAATAAATATAAAATGTAAAAATCAATAAACATATATTTATATATATTTATTTATTTATATTTCTTAATGTATTTGAGATATTGAGTTATTTTGATATAACAAATTTAATTGAAATGTCGAGTTATATCGAAAATAGTTTAATATCGTTTACTTACCTTTATAAGTTAAAAAAAACGTAACAGTCCTACTATATCCATTTAAAATGTTTGTCGTTATTCACGGTTTATGGCCAAAAATTTCGATAGTGCAGCAAAATCAACATAAATAAAATCGCCTGGCACCTAATTTGAATGCAGAAAATTTAACAAAATGAAATTAAAGTATTTTATTTATGATAACTTCTCTGCACCATGTTAATGACTCATTACACATGCAACCCAAAACGAGGCGAACGTGGCAACAACAACACAACAACAACAACAATAACAACAACAACAGCAACAACGAAAACGGCAACAAACTTGTTTACAAATTTGTTACCAACATGAACGTGGCTTAAATGCGGCAAACGTAAAGTTGAATTATGCAATAAAAAATAATGCAATAATTGTGGAAAATTGTGAAAACTATGCAAATGGCACACACACACACACACACACATACACAATTTTCCGAGGCTGCCCGAAAGTCGAACCGTCGTACGTTCCATATTCATGAAACATACAATTTTCAGCCAAACTCGGTGCGAAATGTGCAACAAAGCAAAGTTTTTGTTTTAGCCAAATGAACGCCAACAGTTTTTAATTGTTTATTTTCGAAATTCATATTGCATGTCGCTTTGCAGCGGCTTTTTTTATAGGTGTTTGTTATTTTATTAAATATTCTTTTTTTTTTTGCGTATGTTAAGTTAAACAAAAATAAACATTCAAAATAATGAATATGGCTGCAGTTGAAAAATGATTAGCTTTATGTTTATATAATTTTCATAAACAAATATATATGAAAAGAACTCGACTTGTTTAACTTAAAATTTTGCGTTATTTAAGTGGCTTTCAATTAAAAATGTTATTCGATATCACAACAAAAGTTAGTTTGAACTGCAATCAAAATTTAAATGCTTAACTATTTATGTAAGGTATTCAGTTTTTCATACCTTTAAGAAATTGATCAGAGCTGGTTAATTCACATAAAACATATTTGTAGACTTTATTTAATTATAAAAATATGTGAGTTTCAATACAAGAGAAACGCAATTGCACAGGGATTAAATAATGCAGTTATTTTATGTCAGATGAGAATAAGCCAATTGGATCAGTTAACAGAACACATATATATGCATATGTGAACAGTGCTAGTAACGATATTGAAAACTGGGATCCGAACCATAGACAATGCAAGCACATGGATAACCTGTAAAAGGCGTTCGTTGAAAAACACCCAAAATATAAATAATAAAACATGTAAAGAAAATAAAAGATACAGCAAATAACAATAACATTTATGAACATTAATCAAATATTTATTTTAAATGACACCAGAATAAATGCATACAGTTTAAGTTCACAATAGACAAACACAAGGCTGAATACAGAAGAAACAAAAAAAAAAAAAAACAAACACAATTTTGCTTTTTCCAAAAAACTAAATTCGTAAAGAAATTCGTTTTGTTTGCAATTTAAATTTAAATTTGATAATAATCGAAAAGGCTTAGTAATTGTTTAATTTTTGCCTACGCATATTATTGGGTTTTAAATTATGCATAATTGCCACCAAAGAGCGTAAAACGTGTCCAAACTACCTGGCCCATGCTGTTTATGGCAACTGTGTTTTATTTATTGCGTGGGCATAAAAAGAAATGTATTATTGAAAAAATATAGTTGTATATATTAAGTAAGAATCTAAGAGGTTATTTTGTAGTAAGAGTAAGTAATATGTGTGAGAAGTTAAATCGAAATAGTTTAGCCAACATATAATACCAAAATGTACCAATATTATTACCTTGGCTATGGACTAACATCTGAAACGAGAGAGAGTTTATAGTTTCTATTTTGTTTGTGCACAATATTCAAGCAATTCGGGAAAGCAACAAATTTGGTATTTTTTGGTATTTTCGTATGTCAAGGCAAATAAGAGAAACTTATTTAAAAGCAGCTGGCTAATATGGGCTTGGTATTAATTAGCTAAAGTACCTGTATCAGCAAATTCATTATGTAACATTCAAGGACATAGAACATGCATAGTATGTACACATGTCGAGATAGTATTCATGAATTGAATATTATTCTTTGATTTTTGTTTAGTAATCGTAGCGTTCACATGCCAACACCCAATGTACAAAATTGCAACACTTGAACTTGCCTCGCGGTTTGCACTGCAAATGCTCCTTAATGTACTGGCAAGGACACTGAAATTGTCCGCAATGCCGGCCCGGCTCCAGCGGCGTCACATCGACCAGGCCGCGCAGCGCCTCCATGCCCCAGCGGGAGCCGTAGCGCAGGAACAGCTGCAGGCCGCGCTCCTAGGAAGTAGATTTAGATGAAAAGGCAGGTGAGACAGGTAGAGCAAAACAGTCAACAGATTAGTAAACAGGTGGATAAATTGTTAAAAATGTTATGAAAATAAAAGAGTGCAAGTTAGACAGTGCGTATGCGTAATACGTATGAGTATACAAAAATGCGCAGCATACTTTTTGGCTGAAACAAAATCAAAGAATAAAATGTAAATGGCAAATTTATAAAATATATATATATGAAATCAGGCCTACTAAATTTGAATTAAAAATAATTTAGCTTCGTTTTCAACAGCTTTTAATTCGCAAATAGGCACACAATAATTATAGAGGAAATAAAATAAAAGTATTAAATTACAATCCGATTGTAACTGGAGCAAACACGGAAAGGAAGAACTGCGATATGTCGACATTATCGCTATCGGCCACGCCTACAGCCAGCAGCCCATGCAATTGATGCCGCAACATTGGCGATGTTGCAGACTGATTTTGATTTTGTTACGCAAGAGCTCCTCCTCGTACTGGCATGGGCAAATTGACGATTGCAGATGTCGTGGTGTCTCATGGACGCCCGCCTCCTGAACGGTCCAGTCGAGGCGGCGGCGCAGAAAGTCCTTGCCCCACCGCTGCAGGTAGCTAAGAAACAGCTCCTGGGCAAAGGCCTAAAGAGAGTTGTGAGTATTTTTGTGAGAGTGTCGGTGTGCGTGAGAGACAAAAGAGAGAATGCGTGAGCATGATGCATGATCAATGTACAGAGAAAGAGACAGCGAGCGAGAGATGAAGCGAGCGCGAACGAGAAGAGACAGAAGAGAGTGGGAGAGACCAAAAAGCAAGTGTCAGTGTCTAGCGATGAGCATGAGCGAAATTACAAATACAACTAAAAAGCTTCTGACAGCAGAGCTCTCTACATGAGCCGTGTTTGTGTGAAAGCCCAAGTAGCTACAGACTCACCTGTTTGCGGGATAGACGCACCGGCTGACTGCCCTGTATAACAATATCATTGACATCAATGTCCAGCTTGGCCTCCCAGCCCGCCTTGATGGCCTCGCCGCCATTCTGCTCCGTGTGCTCGAGAAACTCGTTTAAAAAGCTCACACACTGCGTCGCGTCAAAGTACATAAAGCACAAGTTGACCTTGTGACAGGAGATGCGGCCCCGATCGTCCAGCACGAGCAAAATCTTGTGCCGCATTAGTTGCTTATTCACGCGGGCCAGACACTTCTCCAGGCCGCGCGACAGCCGCAGCTTCATCCACATGCACAGAAATATGGCCGCCGCATTGAGGAACAGCCAGCCGACGCCCAGGGCAAAAAGTGCCACGCCCTGCAGCCCAGAGAAGAGCAGCGCGAGCAGCACAGCGAAGGCAAACAGTATCCAGCAGACGAGGATGCGCTTATAGCAAATGTTGTACACTGTAAAGCGATAGTCATTGACCAGCGTCTCCATTGCATTCACATAGTCCTCCACAGTTAGCTACACAGAGATGGGCACACAAGGAAGTTAGAAGCTAGAAGGGCGCTTAGACCAAAGCCAGCAGCAAGTTGATTGATTGACTGGCCACTTACCGTCAAACCCTGTGCCATCAGCTCCTCGGGCACCAGCTCCGGACGAAATATGGCCGGGGTTATCCAAGGCCATTTCGTGTTGGCCGGCAGAAGTGTGACAATCACATCTCCATTAGCTGTGGGTGGAACAGGAACAGAGAGCAGACAGGAGAGGGTTACAAGGTGTCAACACATCCTCTAGATAATTCAATTCAATTTTGACACTTGGAAGTCATAACAACAACTTAAGAGTTGGCTTACACTGAGCTGAAGGTAGGGTATATGTACGGCAGAAATATTTTCTATTGAAAATATACGATAGTCTCTAATAGAGTCCGAGGGTTCCAGCACGTATTCTTATTTAAGAAAATCTTAGTTTAAGACAGACTTAATTAATGCTGTGTGCATTTATTTATGCTTGCGATTCACTAGACCAACTTCTGTTCTTAATATCATTAGGAATGCTTTTTTAGTAATAGTATAGTAGAGCTGTGTGAAAAGTGGGCCGATAATAAAAGAATATGCTCATATTGTAAAGAGAATTTTAAAACTGGTAAATGCCTATTTTAGTTAAGATTTCATGAAAAAGGAATGCCAATGCCGCCTAAGAGACTAGCATAAGAACACTTAGGCAATCGACTGTTGGCACATTATTGGATCGAAAACTTTTTCTTGTAGGCATTTGAAACTACCTGAAAAAATTGTAATATTCTGGAAGGGTATAAAAAGAGAACGGGTAGACTCTTGCTTCAGTTTTGAGGCCTACTTACCGAAACCCTCACGGATGCGGCCCGTTGACAATTCAATTGTGCGCATCCCGGAGGCCTGATCCAATGGAATGGAGACGCTCTTGCCACTGGCATTCCCGCTGGTATTGTTGTTGTTGTTGTTGTTGCTGATGCCACTGCCATTTGGATGAGTAGCGGCCGCTGCAGCTGCTGTCGAGGACGAGGACGAGCCCGACGTTGTTGCGGCCGAGGCAGCGGCCGAGGCTGCAGTTGCTTTTTGGTTTATTAGCTGCTGTGGGTGGCGGGGGGGACTGCTGCCACTGCCGGATGCATTCAGATTAACGTGGGTGCTCTCAGTTGTCAAAACAGCCGGCGTCACATCCGGCAACGACGCGGCAGCTGTTGTGGATGAAACTGCAGCACGCTGTAGAATATAAAAACAATGGGTTAACGTTCTTGGCCTTAAGACAAAGCAGAAGTGGTAAAAAATAAGACAACGAGGCACAAGGAATTATTCAAATGTGCGCTAGAAAATCAATTTTATTGATTTACCCTTAACAATGATTTACCCGTATAAAAACAAAAATAAATATGATTGAGCAACAACCGACGCTTGCCACATCAGGTGCTGCAAAAGCGAAAACAATTTGCCAGTTTGCACGTACGCAGCTCAGCATCCCAATGCGGATATGGGGAGCTATGTACTGCGCTTTAAAAGGTGCTCACAAACGTTGAAATGCACCAAAAAAAAAAAAAAACAAGTCAAAATAGTCGCGCAAGAGTTGAGGTTTTCTATAATTGATCTATAGCGTGCTATACATTTTATATTGCTTGTCAGTTTTCATCTCTCTCTCTCTATCTGTCTCTCTCTCTCTATCTGTCTCTCTGAGCAGTTAGGCCAAAGTGCTGCCATAATTATCTACTACCAAGGTCATAAATCCAATAATATACACTAGCAGGAGATCAATGAATGTTATATGTGTGTTTTTTCTCTTAAATTTGGGTTTGCCTAAACAGAAGCCGCCCACATTTTAAATACTTAATTTCTGCTTGTAAATTAAAGTTCAAGATAAGGCTGTCAATGACTGCTCTGTGAAATTGATGATAGCCATCATCATTGGAGAAAAAAGTGTAATATTTATTACATTGTAAATTTTTCTATCTACTGAAAAGATTATATTAATTAAATATATAAAAAATGTAGTAAACATTAACATGAGCTTATATAAGTTAACAGCCACCACATCCAGTGTTGTAAATCAATAATAATAATAATATAAGGTATTCGTTTTTTAAGCTTAAAAAGTCTTAAATGAAGAAATATACTACTTCGTAAATATAACCCTCTTAATGCCTCACAAACCATGTTGAATCAAAGCACGCAAAATAATGCAACTAGCCTTTAGCTTTTAGATGGGAAGTAAGTAGAACCATCAATACCTGGAATAGAACACTTTATTGCCAATTTTAAAATGCACTGCATAAACGCAACTTGAAAGCAACATATGTATCATCACATCAAGCTCAACAAAAGCAGATTATAATCTAATCATAGTCCATTCTCTTTAAATGTTTATCTATCTTAATACTAACTGTTTAACTACTTAAAACAACGCACCAAGCATTTTCCGTATTTACGTCAATGTCAGTGTTGACAGCTTGTGTTTGGGATTGCTTGAAATTTCACCTCGCCGAAAAGGCGGGTATATATTGCGAAGTGAGCAAAAATATATAACAAATAAATATTTACTTTATTATAATCATAATAAAAATAAAAGTGGGGAAATATTGAAACAAATGCCGCTCGCACTGTATCAATTCTGGGTACATTATTTTTATCTCACACTCTGCTGATATGACAAAAAAAAAAAAGAAAACAACAGAACAGCAACCGAACTGATGAAAGGCAATAAGCAAACGTCTACAAGATACTTTTACGTATGGGCAACAAATATACATTCTTATGCACCTGCTGGGTGTCACACTTATATGTCTGAATTGTTTTTATACTTGCACATTATTTTGTTTATTAATCGTGGACAGGTGAAGTTAAACTCTGTACAAAACAGCCCTAGCATATCAATACAAACATAAAACTCTATAATTATAATATTTACCACGATCAAACAATATTTATTTATTTTCAGATCAGACGTTAAATAATAAATTCGCAAAGCAAATGGCTTCGAGCGGCGATAACTTGAACTAAATTTTTGTTTTATATTTTCTTCTTTTATTTATTCGCTTTGAAATATGTAAGTGTCATTCCAGCATAGACATTTTGTATATTCCACTTAACTAAGATTGTTTTGCGAATTAACTTTTTAGAGCTGTGGAATAATTTACTGATAAAATTAACATACTGCGATGCGCCGGTGCATGTTAAACAATCTACTAAATATATAAGTATACACTGCAATTTGATTTATACAATCATTGACAAGGAAAAAGTACTCAATATTTCTATTCTATTTCTATATGAAATGTTGAGAATGTGCTTCTCGATATAACAATAATAATAACATTATTCTTCCATAGGCATTCGAAAAATAAAAAAAACAACTCTTTTTTTTTATGTACACAACAATTGAAATTTATAACAGTGCCTTTGTAAAGTATTCGCACTTAAAAGTTCTGACTGTACACCCTAATGCACCCAAAAATTTCACGTTTCCATTCATGCATGCACTTGAACGAATCGAACAATCCCTTTCCACAAGCCTTGTACAGAGTATGACGTGTCGCTTGCTATTGGCGATGAGTAATCAGCCAAATAGGCCTTGCTGCCACTGTTGCAGGCGGTTGGACAGTCCCTAACCTTACCTCATTTGTCATGCGTGCAACGTGACACAAAAGAATAATCAGAAGGCAACGTAAAGAAGCAGAGGCAAAGTACCGCTGCTAACAACTCCATTAGGCAACGAAAAGGCGGAGAAACGCAAAGAAACGTAGCGATAACGCAGTGGCAGGGCTTGGAAAGAGGAGAGAGGGAGAGTGGTAACGCATAGTGTGCGATGCATTGGAATGCGTTGCGTTGGGTCAGCCACGGCACGTGAGAGATACTGCCAAAGAGAGCGTAACTACTTGAAACGTACCAAGGAGAGAGAAAGAGAGAGAGAGAGAGGCAGAGAGCGACTAACCTGCACAGGGGATGGAGCTGCTGCCGAAGCCTGTTCGTTGGGACTGCGCGAGCGCGCGCGTCTCTTGTTGTTGCTGCTGACCACAGATGGCGGCGGTGGCGGCAGCGCCAACTTGTTTTGTTGTTGCTGCTGCTGCTGCTGCTGTGTGGCATTGCCGTCGCCAGTTTTACTGTTACTGTTATTATTTTTCTCACTGCTGTCCGTCTCGTCGTCGAATTTAACCCAATTTTTGGGCGTCAGCTGTACGTCATCGCCTGCAGCCAAATCGCTGCTGCTCCCATCAAGGGGCACATCTTGCAGCGGATGATCTGGCGTCACAGTCGCAGTCGCAGTCGCAGTCAACGTCTGCGCCTGCGCCTGCGCTTTGGCCTCGTGCTCCATTAGGTTTTTATATAATTTTTAGGAATGTGCGAATGCGCGAGGCTGACGCGTGTCTGAACTTGTTGTAATTGAACGTGTTTTGGCTTGCAGAGCGAATACGTTTTGTTTTTGCGTTTTGTTAGTTCGCTTTTGCCGCTTACATAACCTCAATAACAATTCACACTTGAGTTGTTGCCGCTGCTGCTGTTGCTGCTGTTATTGTTGTTTGTGTATTTTTTACTGATTTTTATTGTTGGCGCAGCGCACAACGCGTCGTTTACGTGTTGGCTGCTCACGCGTTCTCGTCACACTGCCGCGGCACACCCAAAAACAAAAAGCGCAGCTTAGCTTGGCTCAAAGGCGCGCTCCGCTCAGCTTGCGCTCAGCTAAAGCCCTTTTACCGTTTTGCTGTGTTTCGTTCTCACACGTTTCAAGTGCTGATGCTGCCGCGACCGCCTTTAGTATGGACTGCAAACGTTCAACTGAGCAAGCGACGGCTTTAGCTAGCTTTTCGTTGCGCTCACCTGTTGGCAGCAGAGAGCAGAGCTTTGTCTTTGCCTACTCGTTCAACCTCTCTCTCTCTCTCTCTCTCTCGCTCTCTCTCTCTATCACTCTCTTTGTATCTTAGTTCTGCCGCAGCTCATTCATTAATGTTTTTGTTTTCCGTTTCTGTTGTTGCTCTTTTTCTCACATGACAAGTTTTTGCTTTTTAAGTTAGTAATTTTTTGTTCGTCTCGTCTTTTCGTATACCCAAACAAGTTGCGCCCGCTCTCCACTCCAATCTTTGTGTCTCTGACTCACAATTTGTAGCTAGCTGTGTCGCTGCCCCGCCTCCTCCTCCTTCCACTATGCACGCTAAATAATCATCTTTATCTTATTATTCATTTGTTTGCTCGCTTCAAAGATCTTTGGAGTAGAAAATTTCGCAAAGTGAGCAGCTTGTTTAACGTGAGTATTTGTACACATGTTTACAAGTGTGTGCAATTGCGAGTGTGTGTGTGTGTGTGTGTGTGCGTGTGCGTGTGTGTTTGTCTCACGATTAGCTTCGCCAGGCTGCCTCAATTTCAATTTAAACAATAAAAACAGAATGCTCTAGTTGCAATTGCCCGACTAGAAGATACCCCGTGTTTAAGGATCTGTAGCTTGTTTGGATAAAGATATTGATATACGGGAGATACATGGATATGCCTCTGGCTTGTAAGGATTCTGAGATCAATGAATATGGCAAGATCCGCCCAGCTCGTTGCACAGAGATATGTGTACCTTATGGCATCATTCTGCCTAATACATAAATGCGCAACAAATATGTCATACCCATTTTAACTGTTTTTCTAATGGGTATACGACAAACAAAGGCTGTCGCATTGCTTATCAGCATGGAGTAGTCAGGGGTGGGGCACATTAGTGTTCATCGCACCTCAACCTGCCTATCGGTTATCGGAGTTCTTACAAACGAGTGGGAGCTCAAATGTTTACAACCTCAAGCCAGTGCAGCAGGCTGGCAATACAAATAGTCATGTACTTAAGTATGTAAATACTCATAAAAATACTTAAATATATAAACCACATACATGAATAAACATTATAAGTGCTTAAGCTAAGCAATGCGCTCTCGGTTGAAACTGTTGAAAGATTAATTTGCTAATGCCTTTGAAGATAAATAGATGGAATCGTATAAATAATAGGTTACTCGTTTATTTGCAACTCAATTTGCGGCAAGCTCTTGTTAATTGTTTATTAACAAATTTAAACAACTTACAACGAGCTCGTTCTGCGCCAAGCCAAGTTAAATTTGTTTGCAATTCAACAAAAATGTCAGATATTTATTTGCTGGATCAGGTATCAAAAAGTTTTTAAGAACCTTTTGAAGCGAAGAAGCCCTATATAAACAAGACATGCCTATTAGGCTGATTGAGACTGTCAAATAAAAACAATATTCAAATTTATTTAGAAAAATTAGCTGGAGTGGCGATCCTTTGAATAGGTAGTATCTTCAGTCGAAGCACTTATTTCCATTGTAACTTAAACTCGAAACGGTTTTCGCATCTTTTTTTCTTTTTTTTTCTGACTGGCGAAGACTGCAATTTAAAATCAATTTGACGTTTGCCGCCCAGTTAGGAGGCAGTCTCTAGTTTTGCGTGTCCTTTCGATAAGCGGGCCAACATTTAATAACAAATTTATGGCGCTACGGTGCATAGTTTTGGCCAGGCCAACAACAGTTTTGGCATGTGGCCGCCCGAGTAAAATGTTAAATGCCCGGGACGACATTATAGTGGCAATTGTGCGGCTGGGCAGCCACAGAAAACTTTTGCCAGCAATAAATTATGCCGCAAAATTATTATATAAGCGGCGAGTGTCGAACGGCTGCAAAGGAATTGGCCAAGTGCCAAAGCGAAAGCGTCCGAGCTGCCGGCCCAGCATTGGCCAAAAGTTGTTAAGCAAATTATGGCCTGGCCCACAAAAATATATCTGAAACTCTTACGACTTGGCCTAAACTGCATTTGCAGCAAGACCAACAGCAGCAGCAGCAATGCAGTTGGCCAAAATTATTATCAGTGGCCATTGAGTTGCTGAAATGTGGAACTTGCTGGCACTGTTAATGGCAACAAAAGTGTGCAAACTCTTTTAAAAAGTTTTTCTTTCATCAAATGTAAAATATTGAATAACAAGCTTAAAACTTTTCTAAAAATATTTCAACTGAAGCTTTCTAAGATTCAAATAATATCATAGTATAAAGAACAACAGTATAAAGAATTTGAGCTTTATTTCCGCGGCTAACAAAATCCATCTGAACTTATTATTAGAATCTAAAAAAAATCTTTAAAAATTTTGAATCTTTTTGTTTTTATGGAAGGTTTTTTTTTCCTTTTCTTTACAATTTATATAATTTATAATTATAATTTATATTATAATAGAATAATTTATCAAATCCTTACAAGTTGTTTGAAATTTGTTTTCCTTACAAAATAACTTCCTTTCGAAACAATAATTTTTTTGTGTATTCATATTATTTAATTGTCTATAGTAAAATGTATAAGTCATAATTTTACATTTACCGTTTAGCTTCTTGGGAATTTAATAAGCCTTTTAGTTTTGTAAATAACGCTTCAGAGTATAGCCCTCCAGTTTTTTGTGGCAGCTCATAAATTAAGAAAGTAACTACGATTGTCTCCTGTGAACCAAGGCTTGCGCTTGGCCAACAAAATCTTTGTAAATTTGGCCAGCTTAATAAACTTGGTAAGCCATAAATCGCTCAACATGCAAAAATCCATTGTTCGTGGCTACTTTTCAACTTGGCTAAGGCTTTGACAAGCCACAAAAATTGCACTCTCAGCCACAAGCAGTCAACCAAGAGTCTAATTAGGCCAAATTAATTGCCTGCGCTTTTGACACTTTCAAAGACTGTTGCCTCGCCCCCGCCACAGCGCTGGCTGCCCAAAGTCAACAAAACAACCATGCCAAGTACAACACTCAAAAGTCTATTTGCTGGCATCTTCCCCTCCAGCTCCAGCTCCAGCTCCAGCTCCAGTCCCAGCGCCAGTCCTCACCCATGCCCGGCAAGAGTAATGTTCGCAATTTGTTGCCCGCCATCGTCGTCGTCTTATTAACCCGCAACAGGAATCGGAGACACGCCGCAGCCGACTTGGCAAAAAGTTGCGGCAACTTTTTGGCCGACTCGAGAATGTCCAACGGGCATATAAATTAGCCAAGCTGGAAGCCAAGACACTAGCTACCAGCTGCTCCCTTACGCCATCTCCCCCATCTCTCTGTACCCCTGCCCCGTATGCTCTTCTGTCTGTCTCGTCCAAGTGCCAAAGTTTTGGCATCAAAAAATGTTTTCAAATTAAGCTAATTTATATTATATAAACACACTAAAGACGCTTAATGAGCGGCCCTTTGAGGCTGTGGGCGTGGCCACATAAGTTGTAAGCAACAGATATACCCTATAATTTATACGAAATGGGTGCCGTGATAGTTGGAGTACTTTATATCACAAACAATAAACATCAATAAACATAATAACATAGGCGAATAAAAAGAAGTATATAGTTAATATAATCAATAACAATTACATTCATTAAATGTTAGGTCAGCTTTAGTGAAAACATCTAAGGTACCACAAATTAGTCTATAGACAACACGGATTTAAAATCTGTTAAAGTTATGAATTTTGCGATTTTTGATCTACTTTTAATGCTGTACCCCTTTGATTTGTCTAGAAGATGCCAAGAGCTGAATGTGAGTCCACCTTTCAGCCCTTTGAAAATGGCCAAAGTTGTGCAAGGAAAACAACAGAAACAACAACTTGTTGTTGCTTTTGTTTTTGTTTTGCTTCACAGCTCGCTGGCGAAATTAACGTGACTTGCATGACGCCCCAAAAGTATGCAACGCGGCTCTAAAGTGTCGCCATCAGCAACCATCCCCTTACCATCCCTTGCGTCCTTGCGCCACGCACCCTTTATCCACGTGCTGTGAACAACTTTTTCTGCCTTTGGTCCAAAAAAAAAAAAAAAGGCAACAACAACAAGAAGAAGGAAAGTGCAACTGTGGAAACGTGTCACAAACTTTATGCGCCCGCCACGCGTCACGCACGCGATTTTCGCTTAGTTGTTTGTCACTTTGCTCGCGAGGGGTCCAGAAGGGGGAGGCATACAGAGCATAGGGATATATGCCAGAGCACTCCTGGCACGGTGTCGCGGGCACCGGTTGTTGTCGCTGCCCGGGCAAGAAAAATGGCTCTGCAAATTAAGTGAGTTGGCATTGCCAGCAGCATGGCATAAATTAGGAAAACGTTAGTACAGAGCCGCGATTTCGAGAGCCACGAATATATATAGGGTATTACGCTATACAAAAATTTGGGAATGCAGCAATGCATGAACATATTCATATTATTAATCAGCCAAACATAAGATCTTGAAGTTAACATGGCATTTGTAGAGCCTAAAATGCAAAACTTATTTACCCTTATCAAATAAGAGTATGCATATATATAGACCTGCATTTTGCTTAAATTTATAAGTATATCAAGTGAACCAATACATCCGAAATGTTTGTTATAATAAGTATTGGATATGATATATATAAGTAATGAGAATGGCAACAACTTTTGGCGCAAATTTGCTGATATTTCTCCTAATACAAATTCTTATAAGGAAGTCCTCAAATTGCAGACTACAAAACCAATCTTTACAATAAAAATAAAATTGATTTGGGTAAGCCCAGTCAAATTCTCATTGATTAAATCTGATGTGCTTATTTAAATGAAACGAGAAAACGCTTAAGGTTTCATGAAAGGGAAAACCTTAAAAACCAAAATATGTTTACAAAGAAAATCCAATTTGCAATTATGTTTGAAAATTGCTTTAAATTCAGCTTAAAATTTGTGTGTATCATGTACAAGACAGATTATGTTCTCTGACACAAATTAATCAATGTGCAATTAATTGGAATTTATTGGGATCCCTAAAGGATGCATAATTATGGACAATGCAATGCCAAAATGCTGCACAAAAGCGAATAGCCCGAGCATAATACAATTCGTTTGTTCAGCCATTCAGTTCATTTGCAGATGATCTGCAGAGACTGTCGCCACAGTCGCAGCTGCCACTTGGTAACCACTTGAGTTTATAATAATTTACAACATGTTGCAGCAGCAACCGCACATACACGCACACAACACACAGCACATGATGGGGCAGTCAACAATGAAACTGACACGAGCGTCTGTGTGTGCGAGTGTATGTGTGTGTGTTTGTGAGAGAGTGTCATGTGGCAAGTGCTTGGCTGTGGCTGTTGTGACTGTTGTTGCCACATGTCAGCTCTCATAAAACATAAAATCACTTTGGTCTGCAGGTGCAGCTGCTCGAGAACTTCAGGTTACGCATGTTGCTACCTGAATGTGGCAAAGATGAAGTGTGCGTGTGTGCGTGTGTGGGTGAGTGTTTGTGAGTGTTTGTGAGTGTGGCATTGTCTTCAAGAAATATCAAGCAGCACTTTAGCCTAAACTATCGATACCTCTGTCCTGCATCTGCAACAACGTGTAGGCAGACCGAAAAGTATTTTGTTTTTGACATGGATGACAAATATTTCGAGTATCTTTTGCCTGAGAGTTAATTGAAATTCGCCTTTGTATCAAGAAATAAATGGACTATGAGTGTGTAGTTATGCAACTTGTCAATAAATACGTTTACTCTCAAATATCTGAAATGTACTTCAATGCAGCATTCCGAACTTAAATCTAACAATGCGTTTTGTTCTTTGATTAGGGATCAGATTGAACTGTACTTAGCTGGAATAAGTTCTTAAGTATCTAATCTATCTAATAACCAGCAGCTGACATATTTACTCCTATTTTATATGCATATTCTTGCCCTGTTCAGCGCTAACAGCCCATTTATTTGGCATGCCTGAATACAACTGTACATAATTTAACTTGCTGAACTAATACAAATTATACAAACATAACCCACATTTACAGAAATTAGCACAATTCGATATACAGTAAAAAGTGCATTTGAATGTTTTGTTTTGTATTGTTACTCAAGAGAAATTATTTAAACAGTTGACGTTCATTAACCATGCCTAAATGACACAAATTGAATATAATTTAAATGTTATGCATAAATAAGCCTAATTAACTCTTTAATACTTCCTGGCTTCATTCGAGATTAAAAAGATCACAATGCAACTCCTCAGCTTTCATTTGTTTCTTCATATATATCTATTTACGACAATGTGCCTACTTTTAGTTACAGCAAGACTTGGTAAGTGTAAAGAACAAAAATATAACATAATCATTTTATTACACTTATTATAAAATCATATTATTTTTCCCAAGCCTGCGGCTCTGACGGGTATTGTGTGAATAAGGATGGGTTTTGTAAATATGTAAAGGTTCCGTCAGCCGACTGCAGAGGCTCGACCTCAACTATCTGTTGCCAACGAAGACCTGTTGGTTAAGTGTGCCGCATTAAATATGTAACCATATTTAAAATCCAAAATTGTGTTAAGCCTAAAGCATACTAGCAATAATTGAATATACTATTATGAATATTATTGGTTAAGCTATATTATATCTGATGCTTATGAATTCGCATAGTTAAAAGCAAATATGCAATATTTTTGGATGAGGTTCCAAATAGTACAATTGAAATCAGTGGCAAATGATTTAAATTTACGTTACGATGCTGTACGTGGCGAATGTAATTAAGATAAGAGTTTTAAAAACCCGAGTGACCTCTCGGGAGTGGTTCTTCCTTGGGGTCAACCTGAAAGTACCTTCATCTATCCATTACATGAGAAACCTCTCGAACACAAGTAAGTGGTAATATTATTATTTTTGTTATTACTAAAAATTATTTGTTTAATTATTAGCGTTATCGCACTAGATTCATTTGAAAATTCTAATTAAATAAAGACATCGCCATTAAATCTCAGAATTTGCATTAAAAATCTCGCAGAAAATTCTTGAAAGCCATCAAGCCAAGCCGTGACAGACGAAAAACAAGTGATCAGCATAACGGCGACCCACGACGAGGCAGCCAAGTGTAAGGGCGAGATGCAGAGACCGAGTGCCAGACAATGCACCATCAGACACGCAACCCCGAGCTCAGCTCAGTTTGGGGCAGCTCATTACCTAGCCGCTTCAGTTGTGCCCAGCCCCAAATGTTGCAGCAGCAGGCACTTCAGTGTAAATCATTACAATAATTCAAATAAAGCGCCGCCAGGACGCGATGAAGGACGAAGATAGCAAGTGGCAGGGTGAGCAAAGTAAACGGTGAAAGTTTGCACAGCCAGACACGGTATAAAATGGGATAGTAGGGATAGAGTCAGGCAAGGAACAGACAGCAGACAGCAGACAGCTGGAACGGCGCCCACTTGAGACTGGGAGAAGAAACGAGCGCCAAAAGCATTTAAGTAGAAAATGTTGCAAGAAAAAGAAACAGCGAAAAGGACATGCCATGATTTAGGGCTGCTTAAACGTTTATGCAGTTTGCCATTTAATGTGTTGCACTAACAGCAAAACTCTTGCACGCTCTTAAAAGGCGAGACAAAAAATTATTATCAATATTTCGACTGTCAGATATCAAAAAATCTAATCTTGCAGACTGTTTGGAAGATTACATCTAAAGAAGTTGAGCCCAAAAAGACTGCATTACATTATTTTAAGTTTCAGCTATTTTTCATTTCGCAACTTTTTTCGTTTGCCGCAGAACAAATCAGCTGCGTGCTGGTCAAATATGTAAAAAAGCAGCAACTTGCTGCACAAATAAAATCATATTTAAAACTTTCTAGCCATAACAAAAAAAAAAAGCAGCGACAAGAAGTAGCAACAACAGCAGCAGCAGCAGAAACTAGCTGCTAGCTGCATTTTCCAAACAAAAACTTTCGTGTTAAAAAACAGAAAAGTGTGCAAGCGAAACAAGCCAAATGAAATGCCCAACAAACTGAACTTTTAAATTGGTAATTGTAAATATTTATCAACATTCATAAACTGCAGCCACAAACTACAAGTAAGATGAGATTTTTTAAGTTAAGAAGTTTTTTTTGGCTTTTTATTGTGTGAAATATTTGACAGCACTTTAAGTGCGGCCTCTTGTCTATGTTTATGTGCACAGCACAAATTAATAAAACATGCAATTAGACCCAGAAAATCATAAATAAATGTAATTAGTAAAGATGCATATATGTTGCAGGGAGGCCCATATGGTAGTCTCAGTTTTTACACTTTACAAACAATGCTAGAAGGCACAGTAAATATATAAAAAAAAACTGCATAAATTAGAGCAAACATCGCGCAAATGTTTAACATATGTAATTTGACAGTCAGTCCAACAGGAATAAAAAATAAAAAATGAGTGCGGCTCACATTAATGCAATTTAACAGGGCGTATGCATAATATTTAGCTAAACCAGAGCCAAACCGGGCAGCGGCCCAGTGCAAAACTTAATTAAAAATGTGTGCGCATAATTATAACTATATTTAGCAAGCTGCATTTTTACTCATCCACACACACACACACACACACACAAACGCGCGCGCGCGCGTGTATGCATATGTGCATTAATTTCGTATGCAGCTGCACACAAAGGCACAGCGCAAAAAAGTATGCTACAGTTTTTGTAAGCGGCATTTTGGTGCCGCCGCTGATGATCCAGCGCCAGGTTTTGTCAACACTGTGTCCTCCCTGTTGCTCCTCGCTGCTTTCGCCTGATGAGCGGCAGCAGTTACCGTAAATTATTTTATTTATACCGTTAGTCAGCGGCGTGCAGGAAGGCAGGACGCATCAGCAACGCCAACAGCCAGCCGCATCCCCCGAGCTGTCTATGTGCTTGACTTAATAAAATAAATTTAGAAGCTGCCTGTCTGCCACCTTCCCCTCGGCCGCCCGCTCACATCACGCCTCAGTTGGGCGCGCTGGCAAAATGGCGAAATGTGCATATTGTGTGTGTGTGTGTTTGTGTGTGTGTGTGAGCTTGTCGTTTATTATTTATGCATGCTGTGCAACATTTTCGCCCAGCAGCTGCACAACAAACGCGAAATCGTTGCACGGCTGCTTGCCACAGAGATTTTTCCTGTTGTTGTTGTTTAGCACACATTTGCACAGTGGTAGAAAATTTGCGATTGCGTGCAATACATATGCCAAATTATTTCTATATTTCTTCAACAAATATTTCAATTCAAAATTCATAAAATTTTGTTAATCTAATGAATAAAATTTCTCTTTTATAAAGCGCTAAGCTCTCATACTCAATTTCAGTACAGTTTAGTTAGAGGCAGTCAATTTAGGCCTTTCCTCTAGAAAATTTAAACTTTTTTGTATTTAAAATCTAATATCTTATAGTCTGATATAAGCTTAAGTAGGCTATTTTATATATTAAGTGTGGTAAGCGATACTTTATGTAATTTTTAATGGGAAGAGCAAAGCCATTTTTAGGCATATAAGGAAAAGTCTTTTCTGGGTAAAACGTTTTCTTTGCATATTTAAAATATTTACTACTATATTTAATTTTCTTTTCTGGAATTATTAATTTACCTAACCAAAGCTGCGGTTTACTGTTTTCATATTTTACACAGGATATTTTATATTGTTCAATTAAAGCCCAATTAAATCTCTTTTATGGTATCGAAATACGAAGACCCTGTTAATGGAGATTACACTTTAAAATATTTGAAGGGTCGATATAATTTACAATTTACACACACAAACACTTGCATAAAAATACCCTTCTTTGGCAATTTATCAGTTTGTCAACAATTTCACAACTGCGTTTAAAATATATAGCAGGCATTTAACCACAGAGAAAACCATAAAAACCTGAAATCACGCATAACGAAATAATTGAATTTTCAACTAATTTGCAAACTGCAACCAGACCGATGCGAATTCCAAACATTGCCGAGCATTTTAGTATTTTTAAATTTTATTTTGGCGGACTCTGAGTCGTTTTCTTTTTGTTTGTGTTTGCTTTTGTTCTGGGTCTGTTGTCATTTCGCATATCGACATGTTTCGCATTGTTATTCTGATTTTCATAACTAATATAAAATGCAGAAATAAATAAATTAAAATGATAATTTATATGTTCAACAAGGTAAAGCTCACAATCGCCAAAAATTCCATCCAAAAGTCCTTATAAGAACCTAATTTCCGCCAAATAGACGGATCCTTGCAAAGAGCATTTTATACTCACTACAACAATAAAATACAGGCATACAAATTTAACAAAATAATATTAAATGCGGTCTAAAAAAATTTTTCGGTTTAAAAGAGTTGCCGGAAATCGCATGTTAAGCGCGGCGTATGCGCAATATTTTAAGTGCGCATAACTCGTGCACATTTTAAGGCCAGCGAAATTTTAAATATTTGAAAAACGAGCGATGCCAATGAATATTAATATGTTTAATTAAAACTTAATTAATAGCATTAAGTTATTATATAAAAATAAATAAAATGAATATATTTCAAGTGTATTTTATATTGCAAACAAACAATTTATTTAAGCTGGCAGCTTTAAAATAAATAGAGCGCAATGAAATATTTGTTATTAAACTATTTTAAATAAATATAGCTGGTAGAAGTCAAATTGGAAGACAAAAAATTGCTCTTCTACATGAAATTATATAGCATAAACATACAAGCATATTAACTTTTAAATATATATTCTAAAGCTTAAGACTTAACTATTAATAATTACCAAAATTAAGTTAAGGAAACAAATGTGAAGTGAAACCAACAATGCCTTTTTTGGTATTTGGCCAAGACAATGCTAAGTTCTATTAATGGAACATATTATTATATAAGAAGTTATTCAATTCATACATTCGAATTTCTGAGTATTAGAATGCATTTGATCAGTTATTAGATCCGAGCATGATTAATGAATGTAAAATGCCTAAAATGCAATTCGCCAATTAAGCGGGTTCGATTGTATTCTCAAGCTGAACTCAATTCGGAGCTATTTATGAGCATAAGAGTTTTCCCATTGAAAGATACGTAATGACATTTTGTGGCGACAACAATAGAACGACAATGCAGCAAACACAACAATAAGGCAAACAACAGGAGCGGGGCACATAACGATAAAGTACCACAGAAGGGCAAAATAAATATGTTGGCAATTCTTTAGCAGTTCCTCCTCCTGACTGTGGGGTGCATCGTTAAAAAATAAAAATATATAAAGTCGATTTAATAAATGTGCATTGTCAAAGCAAACACAGCCGCAGCGGACGCAATGTGGCAGTATGCGAGACCACGGAAAATGCTTCGATATGACGCTTACGTGAGCCTGCAAAAATTGGAGTTGCAGTTCTTTAAATAAAATTTAAGCAGCGCCGCAGAAAGCGGCAGACTATTATTTCCTTTTTGAACTTTTTTTTCTTCTCTTTTTTTTTCATTTTGCGGCTGTTTTTGGGGCTACTTTGGACTGCTAAAAGCAATTTACAAAAGTTTTTCCATCAAAAATCCGCTGTCAGTATAAATATCCTTAAAATAGCAGGCACTGCTGCTGCTGCTAAACACACACAGGACACACACACACACACACCGGCACTTACACATGCAGACAGGACACTGCTTGTGCTGGTGCTGCTGCTGGCCGCTTCCTGAGCTGCCTGTTTGCCTGGCTGGCTGGCTGGCTGCACTCTCTAGCTGCAGAATATGATTTATGAATGCATGTGCTGATATATGCCATGTGTCCGCCTCCTGTCCTACTGGCATTCCCTGACCACCCGACCGCCCGCTAGACGGCCTGATCCTGCTTCACTTGTATTGTTAGCGCCGAAAATTATGCTACAATATTTTTCTCTTCCTACACGTTGCACTAGTGTTGGAAAACTTTGTGCATTGTTGCCTCATCTATTCGCAGACCAAACAAAGGCAAACGTGTTAGCCACACACACTCCCTCGCACACACACACAAACACACACACATGCACACATACACGCTGACACACCCGCACACACATAGTGATTTTTGCTGGCAAATCAGAACAGTTTAAATTGAGCATGTTACGTATTACATGTGGGCATCAACTCTGCTCAGGCTTATGAGTGGAGCGAAGTAAAATCCGTAGATCTGCTCTGTGGACTGGTTTTTATTTGCAGCTTTTGCTCTAGATATTGAGTTTATGCTAAAGCGGCAACGGTAATTTGGAGCTACAGCTTAAATCCAGTTTTGTGCTTGCTGTTGGGCAAAGGTACATTTTTTATAAGATTTTCAGCAATCTTTTGCGCTTCTTTG